TGACCAAAATTACAGATAATTCATGATGATTGGTGGATACCGCATTGCTTAAAGCAAAGTTACAGAAATAAACAAATACCACCTTTCACTTTATGATTAGTTTGTCATATATGCCAGACGTGGGCTATTATAGGGTGGCTTTAGGTCTCCAGTCGGAATCCTTCCCGCACCTCAAGGCATCCAAATATAACCCAGTGCTTGAAATTTCGTTCTTTTGTTTGGCTTAAAGTGCACATGAAAAGGGCAAATCAATTACGCCTATTTGTGAACTTTTATCAAAAGCAATAAGATTAATACCTGTATAATTATTGTGGTGAAATGTTATAGGCTAAAACTATTTTGTTCATTATTATTTTTACATAATAGCCCAGTCGGTTAAACCCAATTTCATTTCATTTCGATAAACGAGCTGTTGGGGAACTGGTTATTGGGATAGAAAGCTCACGATCGAATTGCGACGTGATCAGAGAAGATACCTCTAGCTGTTTGAACCTAGTCGTTCGGAGGTACGAAAACCCGAAGTCCTCCCGTGTACAAATTTGTTTCCACGTAAAAGAACCCTTAGAAGTTGGAAATCGACGAGTATTTATCGGAAGCGCGCTGTCCAACAAAAACTATATTTTACCTCGCATTGCACATGTAACCTGTATTTTACGGTCTCCCGTCTTCATTAGCCCAGATGGAGCAGAGCAATAGGTCGTTAAACCCCATTTCATTAAATTTGTCTTACGGTCAGATCTATTACCAAGGCTATCTGCAGATTTCCTCAAGGTCACGAGATGTAAACAGGATTAGGCCACAGCAAAACTTTTTGTTTACGGTAACATTCCATTCCTAGATTTTGAATATTAGCTAACCATAGCCATGAACCCGTGACTTCCGGTCTGAGCAGGCGCGGGTTTCATCATGACAGTCCAATTCAAATGAATTTGTTTGTGTTTTTGAATCGCAAAATTCTACTGGAAAATAGCGTTGAATTATTATAAAGGTGTGTTGAGAAATGATTCCTTTTGGTGAACAAAGAAGAATCGCGGTGAAAATAGACGATAAGGATTCCAAAATATCCTTAGAACCGAGGTGGTGTAAAGCGATATTTTCATATTATATATGCATAACTACAGACAGTAACGACGAGAAACTAGCCTCGTATCAGCCATCGTTACTAAAGTAACTATTTGCCCAGTAGTAGTAAGATACCCAAAAATAACGTGTCCTGGTGATTGCTATATTGAAATCCAAAATGGTCACCAAAGTAACTTATTTGTGTTTAATTCTACTGCATTTCTGACATAAAATTATGTATCTATATGCATGTTTTAAACATCAAGGTGCATCTCAAATTGGTTGATAAGACCAACTTCAAGTTTGGTCAATGGCCACGAGATGTAAACAGGGCTAGCGCTAATTCCAACCCTAACCCTGGACCTAGCCCCAAGGCTTAACCTACAATTTCGCCCTAACCTTGTTTACATCTCAGCGACCTTGACGAAAAATGAGCTGGCCTTAACAAATAGATTTAGCCATCTGGAATTCGGTCAAAAGGCCGCCATATTAAATTTCACGATGACTGCCACTTTTTAGATATTCATTTGAATCTCAAAACCTATAATGACAGAAACAAAATTCCAATGCTTACTATGCCTGGAGAGTATATCCGACTGTTAAAAGTCGCTTACAACAGCCGGCATATTGGATTTCAAGATGGCCACAGGGTGTTATACATTCATTTGTATCGTAAAGGCTATAAATGCCAGAAACAAAATTCTAATGCCCACTGCACCCGGTGAGCATTATCAGACTTCATACAATGTCAGAATTCACTAATTACAGCCGGCATATTGGAATTGAAGATTACCGGTGCTGTATACGAAGTTTGCGATATTTAGAATTACTCTTGACGATTTTATTTGGAGTGAAGCTTGTTTCACTATATATCGCAATGATACCTCCGGACTCATTAACTTTATTTGATAGTAGTTTTATTATTTATCACTTACAATGTCCGTGTCTTATTTTTTTTTGTCTTGTCTGTAGGTTTGTCTTCTGAATTTATGTTTGGTTGCCATGTGAGTTGCGGTCCTCCTGCACTTAGCTATTTAATAAGGGGCCAAAATTGGTGTGTCTAGTGAATATTTTCGTAAATAAAACATTAATATCTTCGTTCAATCCAGGAGTTTTACGTCCACTTCTACCAAGGGTGATATCGTATACAAATTTAATATCTGGGGATTATTAGATTAAATACTGATTTTAATACCCCATGAGAGTTGAGAAAACTGGTAAACCACTCTCGGTAAAACGATAACAAAGACCAGGAGAACATATGTCTGCGCAAAGTCCCTCAATAGCATTTATGAGTCTGTTAAAATCGTATTTCCACATGAGTTTCATATTTGCTTCATTTTGGTTATCAAAAATACCAAACGGCACACAACATACGAACGTATATAATGGAATCGAGCACAACTCCATCGCAGCCATCTTGGAATTCTGTCATCAATCGGAAAAAAAGCATGCCGATGTGTTTGTACTTTGCGGCTGCACGGCTTTTTTCTAAGATCGTAGTCCCCAATAAGAAAAACCAGAAAAGTGATGCTTTGTGACCAGTTCCTAGTCCCAAATTTGTATCTTTAGCTCAGATTAAACATGCATTTATTTTACATGATCAACGAATTATACCAGGTTACCGTATAAGTATTGAGTAGCTCCAATGGCGTAAGTAGAAGTTGGAAAGCGGAGAATTACTGATTTATTTAGGCGACGTTTCGAAGAGTATTCCCTCAACGTTTTCTCGCCAAAATAAATCAGTAATTGTTGTTCCATAAGTATGTGTTTATTGCTCTATCCAGTTACTAAATTCCTCTAAAGGATCATCTACATGTATTCCATATAATTGTGTCATATATTATCTGTTAATACTAATTAAAAATCTGGGGGGTTTATTTTGTATTTACACGATATTCTGCCTTCGGTGAGTTCATACATTCAAAGGTTGCAAAAACTCAACAATTAAGTTTTCTTGATATCCATGAAATTGATAATCGAAACCTTTGGTTATGTTGCTCTTTCCAGTCACCTTTATTAAGAGAAACAGAAGTATGACCTTTTCCTGAAATCTAAATTGACAGTAGATGGCACAACCTCGGGCCGAAGAATTAGCCATCTTCATTTCTAGAATTATAGTTTATTAAAGATACAGATATAGCTATGGAGATCCGGTCTTTTTTCCGGAGACATAGCACAGAAAAGCATTCTCAAAAGGTTATGGTATTTACTATAATGGAAAATAAAAGAAATTATTGAATGGAATCCAGTAGTTTCGATCCATCTCTTTGCTGACTCAGAAAATAATCGTGGGGTCACATCATGTTCCTCGACATTAAAATTAGGCTAACAATAGATGAGTCAGATTAAGGGATTTTGGAGCCCTGGCGGCAGAAAATAAAATCTACCCTAGGGCTGTTGAGTAATAGTGTAGTGCTATAAAGCTAAATATAACACGGTCTACAGTAGGCTTTTATATAAAGTTATATACCACTGCCTACAAATGGTCTATTTAATAATGTTAGGGGCTTTGAGAGATTTATTATATAAGATTAAAACTCATATTATATTTCCTATAAATGGTTTAGATTGTTGTCAGGCGGCGGGAAGCCGAGCACATGTTATAAGTATGTTTGTATTCAACATACATTACGTATGCCTCGCTTATATGTTATGCCAAGGCAGTGGCTAAATGCTATCGCTTTTATTCACAAATAGTATGTATTATGGTTTCTAGTTATCATTCGGTTTCTAAGTCACCAGATAGACCTCTACTTCAGAAGTACGGAAGTGGGGGCTTCCAGTGTTGGCCAAAAAACTTACTCTGGATTTTCCGGTGTGATTTCCCCTTATCGTTGGTACATGACAACTTGATTTAAACATAAACAATGGAAACGGGTTAGTAATGGAATTTAGAGTTGGAATGGTGCTGGAATATATTCACTGTCCTAAAACGCATTTTACGCGGAACCCTTTAAAGGTTTATCAAAAATCCGTGACCAATCCGGGCCCGGTTTCTCGAAATCTTAACAAAAGATAAAATCCTAATTTTAATAGATACTTCCATTTTGATTGGTTAAGCACTAAAATCAATCTTATATTCTAATATTATCCAATCAAATTACTAAAATTTGGATTTTATCTTAGTTAAAATTTCGTGAAACAGGCCCCCGATTAACAACTTTATATGTTTGATGTTTTCTTACGCACACAGAGTTAAAGACCCACGACTTTATACATTGTACAGTAAAGGTTACAAAATTAATTGAAAAGCGATTATAATTTTAATCACACTAAGTATCGTAAATGATAAGGAAACCATTTCCTTCTCAATAAAACAAAATCCACTTCTTTGTTTGTAAAAGAAATGATATTCATTCATATGTTCTTTATTATAATAAAATTATACCATATATCAAAACAATCCATGTTTTGTACATGTGTTACAACTACATGCTTGGTAATGTATTATGCGTAGATATTAAATAATTCTGAATTTCGTAACTAAAATCCATTTAACAATTATAAAAAAAAATTGTTATGAAACAATAGCATTTTTTTAGGATCTGGCACCATTGAGGCGAATAAATGAAATAGTAAACAAAGCAAATTTACATGTTTGGAAGAAAAACCGACCAAGTTAAAAGTACATGATTGTATTAAAAGTGCACCATGCAGTAAAAATAAACAATAACAAGTTCGACAACGCCTAGAACAACCACCGTCATGAATTTATATTTGTATCCGATAACATCGACACCGAGTCATTATATAACCGGCATCTTTATGCGTCTGTAATGGCTTGAATTATACTTGATTTGCATCAGCTAACATCGACGTCAAGGGATTATATAAACCTAAATTAATCTCCCAAATTACCAGCAAAAAACACTTTCGATCTATATATTAAGTGATGAAAATTTGAATCAATTACACACAATTCTTAACAAAAAATATGCAAGATGGTTTTTTTATTGAACATGAATTAAGTACCCTGTAATGTGTCCAGTTGAGCAATAAAAAAGAAATAATTTATTCTTTCAATATTATCGACATATGCATACGACCTAGCCTAAATTTAATATTCTTCAAACAATCTTGCTTGATAAACGGTACCATGGGGATTCTTTGTAGCCAAATGCAATTTATACATCCATAAAAGCAGTCTAATAAACATGAGAATTTAAACAAATTCTCTAAAGTAACATTTCCAAGCCATGCGGTCATATTAAAATAACAAAAGTGAGAATGGCCCAAAGTTGCATTAGCATATATAGCAGAGGAAGTCTAATCAGCATTGAGACTTTGGAGGTTGTGTGAGAAATCTAAGAGAAATCTTTCAAACCCTTGCTGAGATATAGACGTTTTAAGATTCATCACGTTACAGCGTATAATGGCTTTCAACAGAATCTCCTGCAAACTACCCTAAGCGGAAGCCAGTAATTGGATTTTGAATACGATATTATATAAAATTAATTACGTTTATTTTCTTGTTGAAATGTATATATTTAATGCTCTATATTTGGCAGTATCAGTGAAGGAAGTAAAACATTAAAACACATGAACTTCAACATTCATCTTGTTCAAAGTATCCTTACACATGCACACAGATAAACCATAAATTAAACCACATTATCCAGTACGGTGCTCAAGCTTTATAAATGCTTCCTAATCCTAGAAATAAAAAATATTCAATTTTAATTTGATTTTAAAACTCTGGTTTTCTTTTATATTATTGTTTATAATGTTTTAAAGTACGTGCTGAGGGATCTGATGTTTTACACCATTTCGGCATCCAGAAGTAAGGTATCCACTCAGCTTTGTTGGGATAAGACTTTTCAAAGATTCGTCTGTAGTAATAAGCTTCTTTGGTTTTTGGGGTATTAAATGGGTAGAGATTAGCTGCCTGCTCTAGTTCATCATCGTTAATCTGAAATATATAACACCTTTAAAATATATATCTATTGCGGCCCACGGGATTTAATCCGAGCTATCAAATTGCTCAGTCACATTAATATCATATGAACATCCACCGAATCAAAACCGAGATATAGACGTTTAAATTTCAGATTTTAAAGGTTTTGAAACATCCGTCATTTGTGGATTTAAATGGAGTACAGATGCCACGTCACACAGTAGCTCGTGTTGTCTTTGGTGTTAAACTATAAAACGTCATATGCAGACGCATCCTGCCTCTGATCTTGCGGCGTTAATCGAATGGTCGCCATTTTATTAGTTGATAGGCAGAAATTCTTGTTTTGTTACAGGTTTAATAACATCCTTGTTCTGTTATTTTTTCTCATATATTCAGATAAGAATAAAGGCGGGGGGGGGGGGCGAATGATCTAAGGTGTGCGTATTAGATCATAAGATCTGACATTGAGTCAAATGGCGTGGTTTAAATTCCCAGATTGTAGTGAGTATAATCGCCTTCCAACCTCGAGTGTTTTCTCAGGGTCCTCCAGTTTCCCCCCACTGCAAAAGACCCCTACGAACTATAGGTTAAATTAGTCCAAAAATACGTTTGGCAGCCCAAAATATTTCACGATCCATCAATGCCTAGACAAAGGCAAAATCTGATATTAAAAATAAGGATTACCTGTTCGTTGCAATGACTCTGAATAATATCAAACCATGATTTTGTTTTAGATGAAACCCCGTCACTGAAAGCTTCTTTCGGTCGCCATAAAATATCATTAGGTAAGAGACCAGTGTCACTAAATGCGGCCCGGAGTAAATATTTTTCCACATCTTTCTTTGGACGACGATCTTCTGACGGAATGGATAAATAATAGCTACTAAATATGTGATCTAAAAATGGAACCCGAATTTCCAATCTGAAAAATAAATTTTCCATTTTAGTTCTTATTCTTTAAGATGCACTATGTAGGATTTAGATAAAGAGCTGACCGTTCATGCTATAATAGTTTAAAAGTAGATAATGAGAAATTAATATATTGAAAATGTCATTAAAATTACTTTATTCTGGTCGGAGTTATGAGTGTTTGTACAAGGTGTACCGTGAATTGTTTATTGTTGTAGCAAGTGTACTTGACAATCAAGACTAAATCTTAATTATCAGTTTTAAATTTCGCGATTGCTCTAATCCATACAAATCTCGGTCACCCGATGATCTAGACCACGATCATGTAAATAAATGTCTAATTGATAATTAGTATAATATTTGAAGCCAAAATAAAGACCTGAAATAGGCAGATTTAAGGCTTACACAATGCGCTTTTAACCAGTCATAATATTACAATATGGACATTCCGGAAGCATACTGTACTTTAAAGCTACGTTCCAAGTAAAGTATTTATCGGGTGGTTATTTCCAATAAAAGTACATGTATGGCAATTTTGGTATTTATGGAAAGTAGAAATATCCAATCTTACTAAAAAAATAATGGATTCCCTGAAAAACACTCGTGGAGCACATACAGGACAAAAATGTACGGGTTTCCCTAATCAACAGCCCGATGATTAGGAGTGTGTGCACGCGTGACGTCGAGGGTTGCACGTGGTGATTGAGCGCTTGGTGTACATGTTGATAAACTTTATGAAGAGTTAGACGTACAACACTTTCTGAGATAAAAATCGAGGAAAAAGACGCGGGCAGTGGATAATCCGAGAATTTAATTAGGCTTCGATAATTGTAATAAATAGTCAGCGATAAAGGCAACATCGTCTTGTGTATGCAATGAATTCTCCTCCGACCTCGCACCCGCTGTGTCACGTGACACAAACATGACCTCTTTTGATCGATTTTTATAGCCGGCTATTCCCTGACAATTGCAATGCTTTGAGAAGGATTTGAAGCAAAATTATGATAAATTAATTAGTTTGAATATGTTTTTTGTCCAAATACATCATCAAATCACCCCGTTTGAACCCGGGCATGTATCTTTAATTAGTTCATATTTAAATGGATTCAAAAACTACAGATGTGTGGGTTTTCAAAATGGTTTCACTGCCCGGTTTTTAATTTAGGGATAACTCGGGATTTTACAAAGCCCTCATTAAAGGCACAGCAAAAAACATAGTAAAATATGGAATACTTTTATATAAAGACTCTTATTATTATGTACTAAAGCACATCTAAGCGTTATAAAAAAAACTTTCATGAGAAAAAGAACACGAAACGGATAGCAGAACTGATCAATTTGAATAATTTTGTACTAAAATATTTTAATAAAACTATTTATATTTGTATGTATGGTATATATGTTTTCTGGGATGTTGGGGTTTTAAGAAGAATATTCATAACTGTTATTGGCTAGAATTATAATAAATAATATGTAGTCCACAATTAGCCAAAACCGCCACCTGCTTTAGTCATTTTGTCAATACTTTCTACTAAATGGAAGTAAAGCCCTTACCCCCACGCGGACGTGGTTCGATCGCCTCTCAATACGTCATACATGTAGAGATCTTGTAACAGACGTCTGCTCTCTATGTCCCCTTCCTCCGCAGATGGTGATTTGTGGAAATAGATGTACCCTTGCGCCAGTTCGTCGGCACCTTCTCCGGATAAGATCACAACGGTATCAGATTTCTCACTAATATATTTACTTATTAAATACATACCTAAAATAGAACACAATACATTACTGACTTTTATCACGAGCCCTCTAAAGGATGTTTCTATTTTTGCTATTATGATTTGAGAAACTTTTGGACAATATTTCTATAACATTTGAGAGTAATGAGCTGGTTTAATGTATTTTTAACTCCTCTTCAAATGGCGTCAAAACACGATCTTGCACTAAAACGCCTGTTTGATATTAATTAGGCTCTTATTTTATACGTAATGGTGAGAAGTCGGATTGGTTTACATAACCATAACGGAAATTGTTCTTCACGAATAGTTCCTACAGGGCTAAACGCATCATCTAATTGAATCTAGGTTAAGTTAAGAAAAGCTGAGAGCCTCGCCGGGCAAGTTCGAGAAAGTTCCGGTGTGGTTTCCAATCGGGTGGGGGGGGGCATGGCTGAACACCGACTAGTCGTTTGGGTAGGACGCAAAATCGAGATCGCATGTACATGTTGGCGTGCACTTTAAAGTAACTGTAAAGGACGACAGACAGGGGTGAAAATGGATATGATTATAATTATAGTTACAAAACATTCTGTTTGTTCAGAATTGTTTTCTATTTAGTATTTCTATTTACATATGGTAAGAATCAAACAAAATTTATATCTACGTACGGTAAAATCCAAAATTACTTTCTATTTACGTATGGTAAGAATTACTTTCTATTTATGTGTGGTAAGAATCCAAAATTGTTTTCTTTTACGTGTGGTAAGAATCCAAAATTACCATTTACGAATGGTAAAAATCCAGTTTTATTTGATAATCCGAGTACATGCATATACCAAGACTGATAATTTAATAGATAAATACAGGTGTTCAATTAACGTTGGTCTCCACTAATGTCATAGCTAAAAATTAAAAAAAAATAGAGCAATAGCTAGAAAAAAAACAATTTATTCATAAGAAATTTTCGAAAGAGCATACATGTGGAGGGGAGATTTCTTCTTTATCTAAAATATCACTCCAGTAACACCCTTTAAAATACCTGGATAATAGTGGCGCTGGAACCCGGTCGGCTGGGTTAGCATTTACCGAACTGAACTGGGCCCTGTTTCTCGAAATCTTAACTAAAGATAAAATCCAAATTTTAGTAGATACTTCAATTTTGATTGGCTAAGCACTAAAATCCATCTAATATTATCCAATCAAATTACTAAAATTTGGATTTTATCTTAGTTAAAATTTCGTGAAACAGGCCCCTGGTCGGTATATTTTGTCAACCCACATTGTTTGAGCTATGTTTTTGACGTATCTAGGCCTACTCTTCTCATTCATCACTGGTCATCTGGCACCTCCGGATTGGAAGTTTGCAAACGGCTGTAATTACTTTCAGCGATAATAGCCAACCTGCTTCCTCACTATTCAGAGTGAAGACGTCGAGTGAAGACTATACAGATAAACTAGAATACTACATAGATACTACTAGAATACTAGCATTTAAAATTTGCCAATCCACTCAAAATATTATAATTTCCGCACTACATTTGGAAACCGAAGTTCGCGTCGCCTTGAAAACAGCACGGACTCGAGATAGTATAAGGGAGATAACTCGAGTTTAAGACCAGTAATTCTCTAATAGTAAGAAACGCTTACCAACGGACGCTCTGATAGTTGTAATGTCGTACGTCTCCAAGTGATAAATAACCCTTTCTATGGCATCTACACCTTCTTCAGGTGTAAATATAACCTCGTGATGTTCTGTTCCTAAATATTTAGATACCTGAAATCATTCATGAAAAAAAAATATTGCTTTAATTACGGTAAAACAATTTTACTGTTCGACTACACGACCTATCTGTTGGAAAGAATGGTATGGAATCGCCTGCGAAATCTTGTAAATACGTTACTACTTATATAAGCAGGAAGACATATTGATTGTTTTTTCTTTTTAAATTCCATCAAGTGATCCCCTTTGTTTAAAGGTCTACTAATGCCGAATACAAATTCCAACATGCGATCACTTTTATTTAAAGGGGTCGTGGAGGGGGGGGGGGGGGGTGAATGGTTAGTGCGTTCGCTTTGTATATCTAGGCCTGTCATTCTTGAGTCAACTGGCGTGGTTTCGATTCCTCGGTTGTAGGCTCGCCTGTTCAACCTCGTGGGTTTTCTGCCCCAAGGAAATTATTGAATTAAAATTGGAAATCACCTAGTTTATTTCGAGTGGACGTTAAACCCCATTTCTCTCACTCTCTCTGTATTTAAAAGCCTACTAATGGGGACTATAAATTCTATTAAGAGACCACCCTTCTCTAAAGGTCTGGTAATGGTGACTATAAATTCTTTCTATATTTGACACAGCAGGGACACTAGAGGTCACGTTATCCCAACTCTCATAAAATGGTATGATAAAAATACGTACTGTTCTAGCGGCAGCTATATCTGGGCTACCCTCCAGTCCTATAGAGAATGTTTGAATTGGGTAAGATAACTTTTGTTCTTTGGCATCTTTTACTAATAGAGCAGCTACTAAACTAGAATCTAAGCCACCTAGAAAGAAGCACTAGAAATTATTTCATGAAGGTTATACTTTAATCAATTGTTATGGATTAATAATAAAAAAAATTAATTAATTGATTGAGAATTGAGTTGTTTATAGGAAGCCAGATAATTTCAATTAACTGATTTAGAGTTGAGTTGTATATGCATAGATATAGGAAGTCAGATAATATAAAACCTTTTGTTAATTTATAGTATGAAGCAGTCTTATATTATGGGCAAAGTTTTGTGTTTCTGGATCAAAGATATTTCTCATAAACAGTGATTGAAAGTTGAGTAATTTCTTAACTTAAGTCTGAGAATGCTTTGTGAACTCGGGGGGGGGGGGGGGGGGGCAAAAACTTTCAGTTTTAAGAAACGGTGATCTTTTAGTGCCTTACCTGATAGTAAACAACCAATACGTCTTTCAGCCATAAGTCGTTTCTTAACAGCAGCTTCGAACAAATTTCTGATGTTAAGTTTTACATCGTCACCTAAAGAAAATAATATGTATTCTAGTTAAATATATGTAAAACTGCCAGTTGGTAATTTCTGTTGAACGGCTTGCCTAGGTTAAATAGGATTACAAGTGTACAGCTAAAGTATTTGCCATTGCTAAACAAGAAGTGCATATGGGTTTTGCAGAGCTACACAATTTGGTTAGAGTAACTGTAAATAATTGCAACAGTCACCAAGTACATTATCGGGGATGGGGGAGGGGGGGCCTCAGTGCTTCAATGAGCACAGCAGTGACTCCCTCTCCAGGAGGTCCCATGTCCCCGTGGGAGAGGGTGGAGTCTCAGTGATTCAGTGAGTATAGCGGTGACTCATTAACGAGGAGGTCCCGGGTCTCGATATCGGTGACGCTACTCGGGACTTTCAAGCCTGGTTTCCCCTTGCCATTGGTGCAAGATGGAGCGTCTTGTTGACGGGCTTGAACTAGTGGTCTATTCATACCCTTACCTTATCTGTCCTGATTTCCAGTGATCACAACGAGAACAAACCTGTTACAGTTTGCATGGTATGCCGTGACATCGTAGCTATTGTACCACTGTCAGGTTTTGGAGGGTTTTCTTTAATATGAAAATACTTACTCAGGGCCGGCGTTAAAGATTTATATCTGGGCATGTCGCCAATTTTGTGGAATCGTTTTCTTTCTAAGAATTTAGCCTTTCCGTTCATATCTATATCATACACTTCAATATGACCCGGTAGTAGAGGCTCGATCTTTGCCTTTGCATCAGAGACGGTGTGGGATAAACCAAATAAACCTATAATAAAACAAAAAACTCACAAAATCTAGTCTTTAAAGTGGCTCTTTGACGTTAATTAAATTTCATATTCTATAGATATTAGTTTTTGTTATCTTATGAAGCAAGATATATTAACTGACACGATTAAAAATCATTTCTCAAACCCATAGTTAAAGGGGCTAAATCCCTAACATTCTGAACCTAGAAATTGGCACAAATGTGTCGCAACGATTATAATAATGTAATATGAACGTATATAAACTGATTTACATTCAATCGTTTCTGCTTTTACTGTAATTTCTTATCAGTTTTGTTCAGCGAAATACGCCAGAAGTCTCATCCAAATGACAGTCTCTAGCGTCTGGTTATTCCAGTATACACAGATAGTATTTATTGCGCATGCTCTCCAGATAAGAATATGACATCACCGTTTGACATGACTCCTGGAATATGTCTAGCCCCGTTCTTCGAGTCCCTTGTTACAAATGGCGCTGACACGCATTATGGTAGACGAATCGTGTACCAATGGTAAAATGTTTATTTTGTCTTAAATATTGAATATCAGAAGCCTTTCTTTTTCCGGTAAGATCACAACATCAATGTTGATTTAGATTGACAAATAATTCGTGTTTTCAATGTCGAAGATTTTGGATGATTTTGAGTTAGCTACTTTAAAGATACATTAGTTAAGAGTTTAATAAAGAGTTGGTCATTCTTGCTATAATAATTCAAAAATAGATGATAAAAAAAGAAAATATTAAAAATTTTATTCAAATTACTTCATTCTCAACCAAGTTATCATTGTTTGTAGTTTTGACAAGATGTGTGCACAGTGGTAACCAAGGCACTGGTATAATTGGGACTTAGCCTCGCTTTCCCATTTTTAAATTAAATTTTTAAATGGCGATCCGTTTTACTCTAGTTAAAATCTCGATTATCCGATGCCATCGAGAGTCAATTATGGTCTTGTATTGTTAATAAATGGCTAATTAATAGTTGATATAACATTTTAGGCTTAAAGAAAGATCTACAATAGGCCGATTTAGCGCTTGCATAGTGTATGTTTAACTTAAAGCCGGTGAACATTTTTGAGTTCTGTTCTCGGGTCTTTACCATTAGCTTATTGTTGTTTTCTTCGTCAAATAACGGACGATTTGCTTTTGATGGCTTGAATGATACATACTACAAACGAGTGTGTTCGACGTCATTAATTTCTAGAAAGGTTTTATCGCTTTGGTAAAATAATACAGAGTATTTTCGTAATACATCGGGTCATTCAATTCTAATTTGAATACCAACTTGGAACCTCAAATAAAATGTTCAGCAAAGAAAAGATAATTACCATGGATATAATTACAAAGATCGACGGTTCAAATAAACAAATTTCAAAATGGCTTCCATTTATTTAACCCGCTTCAAAAATTTGTTAACTTATTTCTAGAGAATAATAACCTTCGCATGCAAACAAAATATATGTCGGTTACCCTTATTGAAAATCAAATATATTTAACATAAATATGTTAAAACATACTAAACTTCCATTATGATTTAAAGAGTTAAGTCGGTCCAATAATTCATTGTAGCCCCAAGGGTGTTAACAAGATTTCATATTCAAGAGTCATAACTCGTGAATTTATTACCAATCAATATAGAGGTCATCTTTTTGCCAAAAATTTAACAGAGGTCGAGTGATAATTGTATTCTCTATAGACATAACTCTGTTATTTGTCAACGAAAATCATCGTAAAAAAATAAGAATTTTTTTCTTTTAAACGGTCAAGAAAGGGTTATGGACGGACGGTCGTCTCTATACGAACACATTTATTTAAGAAGAAACCTTATGTTTTATGACACTGACCTTTGGCCTCCGAGCAAACTGCTAAAAACCCGTTGTCGTTGTATAATTTAAACATTGGTCGAATTCCATATGTATCTCGGCCTAAAATGATCTTTCTATTGGCAGTATCTAAAATACAGAAAGCAAAAACGCCATCCAACTGACTAGCCGCCATTTCTGGTCCCAGTTTATCATACAGATGTATAATAGGTTCACCATCACAAGTTGTGCTGCACTGAAGATCGTATTCTTTCTCCAACTGAAAATGGAATGAACTGGATTTGAGCATCTAATTCACGGTTATTTTGAGACATAGTAGGTTTTTTTGTATGGTTGAGTTGAGTGTGCAAAGCTGTTTATTACCTGTGGATCATATCTAGGTTTCAGTAGAGTGAATGTATATCTTGAAATCCAGGGTAAAACAGGGAACCAAATAAGTAGTGTAGAGGTGAAATTTGTTACCAGTGCGTTAAAATAATGGGACGGGGCTACATTAACGAATATTGTTGTTATTCAAGCGGCCATTGTGGACTTCGGAGATTCCAGGACCTCCCTGACCGGCCTACAATTAGCATCTCCCAATTAATTTAGGGCCTGTCTGCTCGCTGTCATTTAGAGGCAGTATCATTACCAACTGAAATGGAATGGAGTTTAACGTCGCGTCAACACAATATACTTCGATCATTTTGATCATTAGCCCGGACGATGCAGAAAATTATAGGATATCACACCCCCCATTTTATTTCATAACCAATAAAATTAGTTATAACGGCTAAATGAAAACGAATAGAAATAATTGATGGTAATCAATAAATCTGCTCGAAAACAACTATTAAATATATCATAGTAATATACAATTAACGTTACCAGTTCATGGTTGTAGATTTCACCATTGTAAATAAGCCAAATGTTAGGATAGGTATAAAGTCTCATAGGTTGCATGCCCTTTATATCATCAACAATAGCTAATCTGTGAAAACCCAGACAGCAGTTCCTAAAATGATTGATGTTTTCAATCCGGAAAGCATCGGGACCACGGTGGTTAATTTTGTGGACAGCGTTACATTGTACCGAGACATCATCGTCGCTCCCAAAAACAGCCCAAATGCCACACATTTTGACTGAAAAATATAAACATTTCAGAATATAATTTTAGACAATAATCATTCCATTTTCAATTGATTTCTTGTCATAATGTAAGTTATTAATGGGATAATGTATTGTTTGTAAGTCATTTAGTGATAGGAAAACATTGAAATAATACAAACAACTTTATGGGTAACAATCACTAGCAACTTTAATGGAGTAATCTCAACAGAAACACCCTTAAGCGACAAGGCTTGCTATTTTATATGGTGTCATTGGGTATGTCTCATTGTTTGTCAAAGCATGTCAGTCTACCTGTGTTAAGTACAGTTCTGGTCTGACTTTCGCGGGGGTGAACATTCGAAAAAGTGAACTCTCAAGATTCACTTTAAAAAGAGTAAGCTAGACTTGAAAAGATGTCCAAAGTAAAACGGTTAGGCCAGGTCCCTATTTTATGGCAAAATTTTGTTCTATGGGTCCCATAGTAAATGTTTTAGTGACTATACTATAAATAACACCATTTGCTCTTTTATGTCAAATAGTGTCATCTTCGTCAGACAAGTTACGATTGGATAAACCTGAATAAACAGAGTTGTTACATTGTCATCAGCCATTGGTATACAATACACCGAGTGCCACGTATGTCACGTATATGACATGTGTCTCAGGTGTGTGAGCGCTCTCTTTGATCTACTTTATTTCACCGAAATTAAAAGGGTGTCACAGTCTCGCCGTTACAATAAAAATCGCACGACCGTGTCTGACCCAATAAAAATACTTTACAGACAATATCCCATTCGCTGATTTCTGTATAATAAAATGTATGTCCACTGTTTATCGTTGGTCATTCAAGTCTGTTGAGAATACGTATGCAGGCCATTAATATCGATCAAAATAAAATGACACTATTAAGTATTAATTGGAGGGGGGGGGGGTATGAGGGGCCAAGTACCGTGGGGGGGGGGGGGCGCGAAAGACTTGGTTCATTATCAACTGTGGCATACAAGCGTGGGTGTGGGAAAACGAAACTTTGGGCATGGTATACTGTAGATACTTTCTAAACATTTTCCAATTCAAGCATGGATCTACAAGTCTGATATTCCAATATATAGAACCAAGAATCTGACTAATAATTTATCAATATTCATATCCCGTGAAAGCCACGTTTTAATAGGCCTGCTTTCGGCTATTTGGGCAATTAATGGAGAATTAGGGCATCCGAACCCGTGAACCCCCTAACAATTAGTTCTGTACGCCCATGGCTGGGAGAGAGAGAGAGAGAGAGAGAGAGAGAGAGAGAGAGATATGGGGTTTAACGTCCACTCGACACAAACTAGGTCATTTCGGGACTAACATATGGTTTTAATTTTATTTACATAATTCGCTTGCGCGTAGGGGTCTTTAGCAGTGGGAGGAAACCGGAGGACCCGGAGAAAACCCACGAGGTTGGACAGGCGACACTACTCCTTGTCACGTACAACCGGGGATTCGACCCATGGCTGGGAATGCAACGAAAATATCAAATTCATTTGCTTTCGAACAATTAGCATTAATTTGAAGCGCAAAGTACACGCTTAATAAACTATAAGCAATTGCCCGACGCCAATATTTGCTATAATTTAATAAATGCAACAGTCATTTATTTCTATCTCTGTAGCCTACAATCACAAAGTTTTAGTTAAATAAGGTGCCCCATTCACACTTCAAATCTTCTGTTGACAGATTGGTGTCGATATCCTATTCATTATACGGTGTCTCAATTACATATTCTGAATGAATGTTAAGGAAACATTAAAACATATACAACTGGTATTTTCCCAATATTAATCGACCATAGTTGGTGTATAAATGACATGTCACAACTTGACACAAATATATCAATAAAATAATAACAAAAAATTCCTGAATATAATATAAGGGTCATAGACCTATGCACTATATATAATACACATGCATAGGCATATTCCTAGCAATTGCAATCATAAATTTTAGCCGAGAGGGGCCTTTATAAAATGAGAAATTGCACTTACCTAGAAACAGCAGATAATATATCGTGCGTTGACTATATTTGTAGATAAAGTGATGCAACCAGAAATGCTACTTTCTTTTATAAAACTAGCCGGCTCGAAGAGTGATGCAATCTAGGGCCACAACATCACGTTCGTCGGAGATGATCGTTGAACCACGCTGTTTTTACGTTTACAGTAAATGAACTAGAAAATAAAGCTCTGATTGGCTATGATTTGCTATACAGAGGCGGGGCTTGTAGTCTCTTTCAACAGGGTTGAATGTCAATTCAAGCATATGGAGAATTCATGAACCTAATCTTACAACCGCAACCGTTTCTTTAATGAAGAAAAAAATATTACTATTGTTGATGAATCTTGCATATTTTTTTTTCATTTTGAATTAAAAACGGACAGATGATAACCGTATAGCCATCAGTTATTTACAAATTACTTAGAGATTTTTCACTGACTCATGCATTCCTGTGATCACCACGCCCTAATCATATTTTACCCCCCCCCCACACTCTATAATATAGCCCCCTTCTCACCGACTTAACCTTACGTTGCTTAATAATAGGAATTTTTCTACGTGAATCTAAGAACAACAAAAAATCTTTTATGAAGATTTCTTTTTTTCACGTAGGACTTATCTACCCTATACAGTCCTATTAAGCGACTATATTCTGATCATGCAAGCCTTGACATCATTCACTTTATATATTTTTTTTATCCCTAATATTCTGTCATCTATGAATTATACCGGTACAGGTAATAATAAATAGATATTCATCTATATAGCTATATAGAAATAATATCATACAACATATTAATATGTTGTATGATATTGAACGCTATTATGCACAAACACTGGTGTAATTAAGTATATTGTTCCAAATCAAAGGGTCATATTGATAATGAACTGCGTATAATGTAAAGTATATCCTGGTAATCCTTGTCTTATCGTATTTCTAGGTCAATTGCGACACAGGTAAATAGAAAAATAAATTTGATCCTGGATTCGCCAAACCAGCATTTATTCGATTGTCCAGACCCTGTTATTATTTCCTATGAGTCAACTCGACCAATACCTTGTCCTCCTCAGAGATAAATAGCTCCACATAATGTATAAACTCTTAAGTCCGCCACAGACCGACGAACATTTGTTGGCCGAACAATGTTTCCCGACAAAAGTGCAAGATAGGAAGAGCTAAATCTGCCTATTGCATGTCTTTCTTTAGGCCTAAAATGTTTTTTTTAAAAGTATTAATTAGACATTAATTAACTGATCCAGGCCATAATCAACTCTCGATGGCATCAGATTTCTCCGATATTAAATAGATTAGAATGGTTCAGCGATACTTTGATTTAATCAAATATGGAGGACTGAGTTTTAGCTTCGATCAACCAGTACGGTGGTTGAAATTATTGCACACGTCTGTCAAACCTTCAAAGGCTAATAGAGTAATTTGAATGAAATTTTCAAATTATTCATTTTACATCATCTACTTTCGAACTAGTATAGCAAGAAGGGATAGTTCTTTATCTAAATCTTACATAATGTATCTTTAAACTTGTTAGATAACAAATGTTAGTGGGTCGGCGGCAGGCTTGACGCTATACATGATGAAACTCACAATTGCCATGCATATACATGTACTCATACATACTCATTCAAACGAGTTAACTATAATTACCCCCCCCCCCCCCAAAAAAAAAAACCCCACATATTAGAACTTATATATATTTTCATCAATAACATGTCTTGTGAAAGTGAAACGGGATTTAGCGAATACATTAAACATAAATTATGCAAGAGCTAAATCTGCCTATTAATTAGACATTAAATAACTTATCCAGACCATTATCAACTCTCGATGTCAACGCTAGCCTGCGATGTTTACTGGATTAGAATACCATTTACTGCTCCACTTTCATTCTTGATTTAATCATGAAGTGGATAATCGAGACTATATTTTATCGTACCGACTTTAGTAATGTTGATCGAGACTAGACCGAAAATTCAATCGCTAAAATCTCGGTTCAGAGTGGTTCAATTTGACGGAAATTTTCAGCAAATTCCTTTTACATTTTCTGGTTTTTAACTATTATAGTGAGAACTGCCAGATCTTTATCTAATCTCCCATAATGTATCTTTAATATTATATCCATAATCCAAAAACGCCACCGGTCAATAAACTTTTAAATTCTGTTCTGAAGATTGGGAAGTGTCATACATTTTTGGAAGATGACCCACTGGACATAAAAGTGTATTCTGTGTTCTGGGGTATTGTGTTTATGGTAATACTATACAGAATCTTAAAAATGAACGTAGATATTTTTTGTCACTCTCTTTGATATATTTCTTTTCAAATATTCGCAACAGCGTGGCGTCCATAACCATAATGATCTGGCTTCCACAAACTATTATTTAGCGCGCACAAGTTATTATCCGGTGCATTCTATATCGGTTATAAGGCGCGCTCTAGTAAACCATCCCGTGTGCTCTGGGTAATGACAATAGGGCGCAAAATATATTATTTTGTTATTCTATGTTCCTACGCTCCGTATAAGTTAATTCGCGCTTTTAATCTTATTTTTGTATCGATGAAGGGGGGGGGCCGTAAAGTTGGGATGGTCTTTTTATTTTGAGGCATGCTTACCAGAAAGTCTTTAAGGGGGTTGGATGGTCGACTGGTTAGCAACCTCGTGGCCTTTCACCGGGTCCTCCGGTTTCCTCCCACTGATAAAGACCCCTACGCGCAAGTGATTTATTGAAATGAAATTGAACCATATGTTAGTCCCGAAATGACCTAGTTTGATTCGAGTGGACGTTAATCTCTATCTCTCTCTCTCTCTCTCTCTCTCTCTCACACACACACCAGAAAGTCTTTAAATATTCGGTTTACCTCCCCTCCTCTGATCGAGTCAAATGTTAGTGTAGTTATGTCTCGGTTTTTGTCCCAATCGAACGACTAAACAGCTGTCCTAGTCAGGCCTTCCGTCCTGCACCATTGACAAGGGGAAACCACGTCGGAAAATCCCGATGAAATTTCTCGGCCAATGCAAGGATTGAACACGATACCTCCAGGCTAGCGAGCCAGCGTCTTACCCACTTAGCCACCGTGGCTCCCCTCTACTTACAGGGCCATATACATTTTTAGAAATATAATTGACAATTCTTAAAATGACGAAAAACTCATTTCTGGGACGTAGGCTATACCCACTCGTTTACTTTGCACGAGAAATAAAAACATGACACCAGGTTACTTCCATGTGTAGATTTTTTGCATGTGGTACATTATACTTCCATTTACGAATAAATAGTGACTCGTTTTCCATGATTTTCCGGCGTGGTTTTCCCTTGTCAGTGATGTAGGACGGAGGGCCTGACAAGGACAGCTGTCTAGTCGTTCGGATGGGACGAAAAACCGAGGTCCCGTGTACATATTGGCGTGCACGTAAAAGATCCCTTGGCAGTTGGAATTCGATATAAGAGTAGTCCGTAGGCTACCGCCGCTGCCCGGGCAAAATTTCCCTCATAGCACACGGTATGGCGTGTTTAGGAGCAAAACAGTAGGACGTTAAGCCCCATTACATTTCATTTCGAAACGTGGACGACTTGAATCATCATATTGTACCGAATTGGTCTTTATTATTATTAGAGCACGAAGCTATGTAAAAGCGACTGGATGACCAGATCTATGTTTTGTTATTTTCCTAAATTTATACGGTATTCGATAGCTTGTTGCTGGTTGTAATAGTCTTAAATAATTTCGCAATTCGGAAGCATAAGTGTAACGTCCCTGTAACATCCGTGTAGCCTATTGAAAGAATTTGTTTTCTGAGTAAAACAGAAGAATTCGAAGAAGAACTGGGAATATCAACGAGAGAGAGAGATCAATACCCAGGCAGGAGTGGTAAAGAGTGCAAACTGCAAGGTAAATTTACACTGTAGGTCTAAGTAGCGCTAGGTAGGGCCTATTAGTTTGGCTGTGATCGACATTAATAATAATTCTCAGTTCTGACTAATGAGTGTAGAATCTTCTGATATGTTTTGTACAATATTACAATAATTATAGTGATATCGTATAGCAGAGCAGTATGCCTACGTAGGACGTTAAATTTCATTTCATATAGACATTTTAATTTTTCTTCCAAGAGTAATAATACTATAGCTAGTAGGCGCAATCTATATTTCGTTTCGTTTTTTATACTTTCGATGGTCAAGACTACATGAAGATCTGAAAAGTTATAGTAGAGTTCACGCCAAGGGTAAAATGAGTGGCTTTTGACCCTATGATGTGAGACATTGATTAATCAATCGGCGTTGACGTTTCTAGTGGTTTACCCACAGTTCTGTGCATAAAAAGGCCAAGAACTCGCCGTAACAGACCATTTAATTCATTGGTTAATTCCTCACATCAAGTAGAACGGCTGTTAGCCGTTACATAACAAGTCTTCCAGATCCTAGTGTAGTAAAGACAAGTAAAACGAAATTTTGAACTATAAAAAACGAAACGAAGTAGGATCTGTGTTTTAATCAGATTGTAGAACAGACACGCTAGTTCACCAACATTTTAAGTTCAAAATCGACGCTTTTAATTGAAAACACTAAGTATGCCTCTAAATATTCTGCTTTCCTTTAATAAAATTGAAAAGGTTTAATTTATTTGTGTATCGTTATAAACAGATGTGAACCGAAGTAGGACCCATTACAAAACAGTATACTAATTGTCATTGTTGGATATGGCTGCCATTTAGAGCAGAGATCTTTTCTCGAAGTATGAAGTAGAGTTCTCTGTGTGCAGAATGTGTCAGTTTGACATAGATGACAATATACATGTAGTCAGAATTATAAATGTCAATGGAAAATTACAGTTTATGGGTGTAAGATAAATATAGAGTTTATGATACATGTATACAAGGCCGGCAGAAGCAATTCTGTTCTGATCGATTTCTGGCTAATATGTGGTACCTTATTTATTTTTCAGATCTTTTGACAAGTTAAACTTTAGAATAGTGATTGAAGAAACATAGCAATTGACATATATTTCTACAATTAATCAATTCAATAATTGATAATCGATCACAGAAAAAGAAAAATGGCTGAGGATTCAACAAAGCACGTTGTGTTTTTGATTCTTGGAGTCATAGGCTTCGGCCTCCTTCTTGTAGTTATTTTGGTACCAATTAGTTTTGTAGGACTTGAATATTATGAGGTGAGTTTAATCCTTATATTTTCAATTCTTTTTTATAGCGTGAACCCAGGATTTGATCAATTTTATTTGTTAATAATAAACCTTTTAAGAATGACAAAACTGACACAGTTATATGGGACAACAATCACTGGTTTATTATACACAATGCTAACCTCCACCCCAGTTACTAACCTTTTCTCTATATAGAATAAAGCCGAGTTGTTCTTTCACTTTCCTTTGTTCATTTCTGATTTCTGGACATATATTTAGTATAAAAAATGATCATTATGTGTACCAGTATTCTGAGAAATATTACACAATTTTTTCAAATATTGCAATACATTGTATATTATGACATCGGAATACAGCAAGAAGAAATATTGCAATATATTATAATACAATATAGCAATTATAAAAATATTGCAAATAGTTTGATATTTCAAGTAGAAATATTGTAACATATTGTGACCTAATTATATTCCCAGTATAATGTAGTTATACCGATTTATATAAATTATATAGAGAATGTAATTGTACCAATTTGATAAAATTATATAGAGAATAATCATATTAAAGGATCTTAACTTTTGTGATTAGATCCAAATAATGCATTGTAGCAATTTGCTTAAATTATATATAGAGAATAATCATATTGAAGGATCTTAAAGGAGCTAAATCGCTAATATTTGGGACCTAGAAATTGACACAAATTGGTCCCAACACTATAATAATGTAACATGAATGTATATAAACTGATTTACATTCAATCGTTTCCATTTTTACTCTAATTTCAAATCAGTTATGTTCGGCGAAATATGCCAGAAGTGTCAATCGAATAGCAATCTCTAGCATCTGGTTATTCCGGTCTACACTGATAGTATTTATTGCGCATGCTCTCCAAATAAGAACATGACTTGTGGAATATATCTAGCCTCGTTCTTCGAGTCCCTTATTTCAAATGGCACTGAAACGCATTATGGTACACGATTCGTGTACCAATGGTAAAACGTTTATTTTGTCTTAATATTGGATATCAGAAACTCATCTTTTCACGACACGATAACAACACCAATGTTGATTTAAATTGACAAATAATTCGTGTTTTCAATGTCGAAGACTTTGGGTGATATTGAGTTAAAGACTTAGCTACTTTAACTTTTGTGATTAGATTCAAATAATGCATTGCATTGGGTTGACCTATGATCAGTGATGAGACAAGCTCCATAACATAAAAGTTCTGTTCTGGAAGATTAAGAATATGTCAATTTGTAGGAATGTTCATCAGGTATCAAATTTTCAAAACTTATTTTGATTTCTTGTAGACATAGATTTTGAAAGGACAACTTCGTTATTGGTGGACATATTAGGTTACAAGACAAGCACCCAGTCACGTTATTATTATTTTAACCATCTTTATAAAATTTTTTAAATGTAGATGGGATTTAAGAGACAGAAATCAACTGGAACAGTTAAAACCGATAAAGTCTACGAAGGCGGCAAGCATTTTATTGGTCCAGATTATGAATTTAAAGTATTCCGCTCAGATGCTCATTTTGTTACCTTAACCGATGTCTCTGTTTTCACTTTGGATAAATTAGAGGTATGTGGAAAGAATTGAACAGAAACCTTACCGAGAGCATTATGTCCCCTTAAACTTCAAATGATGGCAACCTTTAGTTAAAAGTTGCTGATCAGAAAACTCACAAGTTTTCACAGCTTAATCCACTCTAAAATTCACCCACATTGATTATTTAGCATTTAATTTAAAAAATCAAATCTGATAAAGCATTCACTCTGAATAGATTTAACCAGTTAGCATGGAGGTCATATTTGGTGAATTCAGGAAAACTTGAGGCATCACTCCAAATAGCCCTATGCAGTGCTGAAATTCACCTATTCAGACTTGGCAGACTGAAGATTTGGGGAGGTCCTTCGGCCAAGGTGTATAATAACTTTGTCTCAATCATAAGCCTTTCTTAGACATCTGTCATCATCCTCGGCTTTGCTCAATTGTGTTTAAAACACACTCTGGTCGTGAAGGTGCGGGTTTGGGAGGGGCCTCATAAGTGAAATAGCCTAGCGCCTCTCTTTATTTAAATCCCACACTGAGATTTTGTTTACATACTGTAATAAGTGATTCTGATGTATTAACAGGTAGACCTAGATATTTCGTTCCAGTATTTCCTGCGACCAGATCAACTCTCTTTATTACACAGTCAGTATGATATTTACTATAAGAATATCATGAAAACCAGTGCCACTGATGCCTTAAAGGTAATTATAGGTGTCCTTTAAATTAACAAATTGCCATTTTCTCCAGTTTGATCATTGAATTGGTGTCTGCATGTTTTTTAAATCTGGCAGTTGACAGACCGTCACTGTCATGTTACTTTCTTGATTAGCAGCCTTTCTGCAGATTATTTTATTTACAATGTTATTTTTCTTGTTCAGATAAAATATAATTTTAGTTCAGATAGAAAGTAGGTAGGGATATTGCAACAATTTACCTAATTATTCTTAAAGGAATATCTTGTTAATAGACTATGTGATCAGGGATGGCACCAATGAGATGCCATTGGTGTTCATAACTAAAATAATTTGAATATGGTAATTTGGCACTCCCATTTTACAGCCAATTCTGCTCTTTATTTGTCTCTAACCAAGTAAAAAAAATGATAATAAAAGCTATTTAAGTAGCCAAATGGGAATACTTCATTAATGAATAATTATCATAAGCCCTACTAATATTTCTTTTTTAAATCCTATATATAATTTTTTGTACACACCATGCTGACAAAGTGGTACAGACAAGTGAATTCACAATACCCTTCCAGGAATAAAAAACATGAAATATGAATTTATTTTGCAAAGTTTTTGTGCGTTATCAATAATGACCGACAGTGAAAAGTTTGAAGTAGAAGCCCTGGTTCAAACAGTATGTATGGTATAGTGAAACTTTTGGTGCACAGTACAGTCCTGTAGAGTGTACAAAATGTAGAATGAAACTGACCATACTGTCAGTAATATGTTTTCATATTTCTTAAATACAGGGTCAAGCTCCTAATTACAGCACTAGACAGTATATTAGTGAAAGGAACACTGTAGAGGAGGCCATGTTTAAAGCTGTCAGAGAGAGGCTAGGAGGAAAATGTTGTGCAAAAGACTGCTCTAAACATAAACATGGTTAGTAAATATCATATTTGAATGGATTTGTGGCAGGGGGACAGATGTAGATATATATTGTGGAGACCTTTGATGATTGTCAGTACATCCCTCCACCTTTGCCAAGTAATGCAGGTAATATTGATGCTGATTTGTCTGATTGGCTTCCTGTCTCTTCAGTAAGCCCAGTCAGAGCACATGCAATACAGTAGGACGTTAAACCCCATTGATTTCATTTGTCTGATTGGAAACAATACGATATTTTTCGACCAATCAAAAGTCTACTTCCCATAGTTTAATTTTAATTAGTGGTTTCCAAATCATGCTAGTTTAATTAAATCAAATCATGTTATTTCAAACCAAATCATGTTAGTTCAAACCAAATCATGTTAGTTCATAGTATGAACTTCATACCAAATCATGTTAGTTTCAAACAAAAAAAAAGATTGTGAAATAAAATGTAGGACCGTGGGTGGGAGGCGAATGGTTTAATGTATACGCTTTAGATCTTGATCGTTTATTCGTGACAAGGAGTAGGGCCGCCTGTCCAAGCTCTTGGGTTTTCTCTGAGTTCTCAGGTTTCCTCCCACTGCTAAAGACCAATACATGTACGTAAGCAAATTATTGAAATAAAATTGAATTATATGTTAATTCAAATCTGACTTAGTTTGTGTCAAGTGGTTTTGTATCGGTTCCAGGAAAAAAGCTAAACACACAATTTCTTCTGCTTGGTAAATTGTAAATTATGATTTTTATTTTGCAAAACTTTTCAGCATGTCCTCCAGGATGTAAACCTGCCTCTTCCTGTGACTTGGCAGATAAAGGTTTGTTTGTGGATGTCAAATATTTCCAACTAAAATCTGTTAATATACCCGGAGACGTCGAGGAAAGATTTCTCAAGGCCTTAACTTTACGAGAAGAGGCTGATAAAGAACATTTATTGCAAGAGGCTCAAGTTGTTCGTAAAAATACCGAAGCTGAGGTAAGGAACACATGGGGTTTTTTTGCAGTTAGTGAGACGCCAAAAGTCAGTTTATAAATTTTAGTTCGGAAAATATCTTGCGATGATATGATATTCTAGTTGTTTTTCCATAGGTGGCTCAGCGAGTAAGGCACTGGCTCACAAACCAGGGGGTTCCCCTTGTCTGTGGTGCAGGACTGACTAGGAACAGTGTGTAGTCATTTGGATGGGACAAAAAGCATTGGCAGATGGAATAGGCCATAGTACCGCCGTCCTGGCAAAATTTCCCTACAGAAAAGTTTAACCCCATGTCAGTCATATCATATGACCTAATTCGTTATACATGTATATTCTACAGCCAATCATGGTGTAATTCATGGCCTACTCTAAAACATATTTGGGTGGCAGTCTTAACACCCCAATAAAGCTGGTGCAGAAAAGTAGAGGTTAAACCTCATTTCATTAATTTGATACAGGCTTTGAGTAAGGCTTAATGAGTAAGGGGCTGGCTAGCAAGTTCCTCAGGATTTTACCGCATGGTTTTCCCTTGTCAGTGGTGCAGAGCAAAGGGTTGGGGGGGGGGGGGGATGGGGCTTGACAAGGAACAGTTACTAGTAATTTGGATGGGACAAAGTCTAGGTCCTGTGTACACATTGCCGCTCACGTAAAAGAACCCCTGACAGTTGGAAAATCGAAATAAAGAGTAGGCCGTAGTACAACTGTCTGGGCAAAATTCACCTTATACATGTATCACAATGTGTGCTGTATGCCCATCTTCACTAACCAGGTTGATGCAGGACAGTTGGATGTTGAACCCATTTAATTTTGTTTTATTTATAGTTTAACCATAAAAATGATGTGGATTTAAATAAAGGATCATTTTCCTTAGATTAACAAATCTTTTTGTCTATCTTTAATCTTAATTATTTGTATGAATCAGTTTTCAGTTATAGGAAAAGAGCCTGTATCAATTATTTTTCTTTCTCAGTTAATTTTCATATAAAATTTCAACTGCTTGTTGGCCAAGGTCTGTCAAAGGAAAGTGTTTATTTCAATTGAATTTCATGATTTGAGGGGCACATTTGTTTTTTTTAATTTCATGATTTCCATCCAGCCATATAACATATAATAATTAGTTTTTCAGGCAGAATGGGGATGTCCCTAGCAAATTTATGTCAATAGTAAATTGAATCTTATTTAACATTGAAAATTGGAGTTATGTCCCTTGAAAGTTAGCTCTTTGACCATCAAACCATTTATTTTTATGGCCTCATAGATATTTTTCTTAAAAATTGACAACTTTCATTGTTTGTTTTTTAACTACATTATTTTCAATTTCAATAGGTTCAACGCCGAAAGAATCAGGCCATTGAAATAAGTCAAAATGCCACAGCCCAGTCTCAACTTCTGGAGGCCATCTCACAGGCTAACTACACAGCAACTATAGAAAAGGCAAGAAGCAGTGGATTAAAGCAACTATACACCACACTGGGTATTACCGATCAGAATATTAAAAACAGTTTTGACTATCTTCGCACCTTGCAAGGCCTTGAAAATGTCCATCTTACAGTGGACTTCCAGCAGCGTATCGCAGGCACCTTATAATATTTCAGATACTCAACCATTCAAAATAAACTTAATTTTGAAACACAAATAGAAGAAGACATTATTAAAAACTTTCAATTTTTTATGAAATTATTGCGAGTGGTGGAGATGCCAGTAATTGCAACGAATATTTTCATGGATAATATGAATAATTAATAATATTATTGGAGTTCTCAGGAGTATTCATCAATATTTTAACCCTTTAAAGCTTCATACACATAAATAAGAATTATGTGATTTTCAAGCAGCGTTCATAAATGTTAATTTAAGAAGAAAATTGTTTTATCGTAATGGGGAATAGATAAATGTGTTTGTCTCAGAAGTTACAGAATCACTGTAAACCATTAAAAATTCAGTCTAAGCAGATAATATATAAAACAAAAATCTTGTGCAATTTAATATAAAATTACTTGTGAGTTTTGCTTTATTATAATCCTTTAAAAGTACAATATATTTTAAGGAGTTTTAATTGCTATTGAATAAAGAACAAGTGCGATATAATTATTGCCTTAATTTACATATAATTTATAACATGTTTTATACTGACACTAATTTTATCCAGTTTAAGAACTTTTGAATTTTTCTGACATTCAAATTATCTGATTGATACAGATGCTGCAGTAGGACATAAAGTAATATATATGGCCACCTATAAGAGAACTTGGTAGTCTATAAACTAACTGATTAGACAACAGATACAAATTATTATCTGAGATAGTATTTTACATTCGTTTTTATATTAATAGAATTCACATAACTTTGTAGTCTATAAACCAGTTGAATAGACAGCAGAAAAAAAATTATTATCTGAGATAGTATTTTACATTTGTTTTTATATTAATAGAATTTGCATAATCTGTTATTAATGTTAACTTTTTTTCATAATTATTTTAGTATCTTCATGTACTAAGAGAAACAAATTTGTATTTCTTAAAGATACATTATGGGAGATTTTAATAGAGAGTTGGCCATTCTTGCTATAACAGTTCAAAAATAGATGATGAAACAAGAATATATTGAAAATTTCAGTCAAATTACTTTATTCTGAACAAAGTTATCACCATTGTAATTTTTGACTAGAAATAGGAGTCAACTCTCTCTTCACCGTCTCCGAGAATGGACGATCGTTTGATTGACAGGCGTTAACTCCACCTTCATAATCTCGATTATCAAGTAACGTTTTCAATGGCTGTGGTTTGAGACGGGGTTGCAATTCAATTCGTATCACATTTATTTTTACTACAAATTAAAAATAAGACTTTTAATATATAGATAAGAAGCGAAAGTTTGAAAGGAATGGACCAAATCAATGAGGCATAATTATAGCTGACTTCTTGTTAGCCTGCGTGTACTCTTGTACTGTAACTGGTAGGTCTGCGTAACTCCCGAACAGTGATCCAATGGAGCTGCAATTCAACTGAGGTGATGTTAGCTGCAATGTTTATCAATTTCTATAATTTTTCTGTAAACGCAAGTGACAAAAGAGCGTAGCCTATAATACCGACATCCAAACTCTCATTTTAACCACAACTAAACATAATATCAAGGCCGTATATATCGCACTTTCAATCAAATTGACTGACATGCGGCCTCGCTTCGTACAATCTATCGTTTAGCCTCGATCTAAAATTATTTCTGGGAGTATGACGTCAATGTAACGGTTAATCTCCGCTTACGACGCCATTTAAAAATTTAATCAATCAACGAAATCCTGTTTAAATCCAAGCCGAATCCAAGCCATCCGTGGGTCTTGTTGTGTAAATAAAGATCTAATTTATAATTTCTATGAAGTCTAAATAAAGACTTGGAATAATCAGATTTAGCTCTTGCATAATGTATGTTTAATGATATATTGGGTAATAATGAACTTCATCGTTTACTGAACATAAATTACTTTCTGGTTTATTCTATATTATCACTAAGTATGCATTACTTTTTTTATTATATTTATCACTAAGTATAGATTACTTTCTGATTTATTATATATTATCACTAAGTATACATTACTTTTTTTTTTATTATATATTATCACTAAGTAGAAATTACTTTCTGGTTTATTATATATTATCACTAAGTATAGATTACTTTCTGGTTTTATTATGTATTATCACTAAGTAGAAATTACTTTTTGGTTTATTATATATTATCACTAAATAAACATTAACTATGTGGTTAATAGTATTTATCCTTAAGATAGATATGACATTGTGTATGTTAGTCATTGTTGGGTATCTCTTTTGAATTTTTTATAGAATGAGAATTTACACTATGCAGCTGTCTCTCAGGGAATTTATTTCACAAAATAATGCTTGAAAAATTTGATTAAATTTTTTACTCTTTTGGTTCCTTTAAAGATTATTTTTCATTAAATCATGTAGTTAATGAATAAAATTGTTAGTTTTGAGTTCTTTAAACTACAAATTTTTATTTATGGATATTATTTTTTTTATTACATAATATAATATATCTTTTTTTTAGATGGTTGCTTAAAAGATCTTTTTAAAGTTTTGAAACAACATTCTTGGCATGACAGAATTTACATTGCCAATTTTAATACATGCCAATCGGATTTTATAAAATTTGGTTCATATTAATGCTGTGAAATTGATTATTCAATGAGTATGTCCATGAGTAGATTAAATAGTTTTCATATTTTGTGGGATAGTTTTTAATATTCCATAAAAATACATGTTGTGTTCATGAAAGTCCATAGAAAAGACCAGTTGCAAACTTATTTTTATCCTTATAATAACTTGTTTGGTTTTAGTGTTCTAATTATATTGCACTGTGATACATTTTTGTATGACTATATATCTTTTTTTCATGTTTTGATGTTTCATTTTGTTTTACACTGACCGCTGTATAAATTGAAAGTACAAGGTACATAAAGCCACTGATCGGCATTTGTATTTTTGGGGAAATATCTCATTTTTCGGGAAGTTTAATCCATTCTAAATTGTACTAAGATTGATTATTTAACATTTAATTAAGAAAATAAAATATAATTATCAAAGGATAATCGCCCGGGTTGGATTCAGTTGTCATTAAAAAGAGACCCATCAAAGATTTTCGTAGAGATTGTAAGTGGCTCTGGCTTTTTGACATCTTCCTGTTTATTGTCTGTGGGACGTGCCAAAAGTTGACACATTTTCAATCCCTCATTATCTTTGACTTGAACCATTTTTGAACTGATGTCCCTTTAGAGATCCAACTTTCACAATATTGTAGTTTGTATGGGATTAAAGATCCTTCAAATGACAATCAAAGACTTTAACATTGTAATGGATGGTTAATTTGGAGTGATCTGAATTTGTGTCTCAGATCTTGGAATTCAAATTAACATAATATTGAATAATTGATTTAATTTGACCTTCCAATCCTTGATCCCATTTTAGATCACACCATTACAGAAAGCGGTAAATTGAGTAACTTAACTTTATGTATTTTATAAATCTTGCAATATATTTCATTCATGATATAGCTCAGTCTTTCCCTGTCTTATTCAGAATAAAAAGGTTTTTCATTATATAAATATGAATTTTAAAGATTCTTGTATATGAAATGTTATATAAATTATATAATCCTTTTATGTAATTTGCTCAACTATTTTATATTCTTTTAATAATGTCTAAATTATACCCCTTTAAATCCATTTGTGTCAATTTTCAATAAAATTTTATAAAATAGATTTGAGTATAAGTTATGTTTTTATCAAAGATATATTATGGAAGATAAGATAAAGAGCTGGCAGTGCTCACTATAATAGTTAAAAACTAGATAATGTGAAAGAAAGGAAAATGCTGACAATTTAAGTCAAGTTGCTTCACTCTTAGCTGAGAAAACCTTATTCTAAAATCACTGTAGGTTCGATTGTCTTTGTTACAGCTGTCACGATAATTAACAAAGTCTTGATTATCCATTCTTGCTGTTAATCATAAGTGGGCGTTGAACAGCAGATTGGATTCAAATCCAATGAAAATCGGACACATAAGATGGCATCTAGAGTTTATTATGGTCTTGTCATGTTAATAAATGTCTCATTAATTGTTTATATAACATTTCAGGCCTAAAGATTAAGACCCAGAAATCAAAAAATTGTAGACCCCCTTCCAATAAAATGTTAGCATAGAAATATTTTTCTCATGTCCAGGATATATCAATCGTTGGAATATAACTGGATGCAGAGAACCCCAAAACTTGAAGAATCGATGGAGATTTCCTTCAACTGGTTACTGTAGCCTTTTTTCCGGTCTTGTAGAATCAAAGAAAATTGCATTTACATTTCTTGCCATTTTTTTGTGAATATTCGTGATTTTAATTTCATAGCAGAGAGATAAGAGAATTAAGAGGTTAGAATCTTGCGTGTATTATAACATGGTTACTAGTATGCTACTTTCAATTTTGTATCTCAAGATTCTTTGGAGTACTTCATACACGCTTTTGGCTAAGACATGGTCATGTGTTACTCCATCTGTTGTACTAAGCATTAAACCCAATGAACATTTGGGGCAAACATTGCGGGAAGAAACTGGCCCTAGATCACCAAAGATTTTCCCTTAATAATTGTAGCACTTATCGTTTTTGAAAGGGTCCGAAGATCGCGGAATGCTGAATATCGATAGGATCGCCCTATGGGCGGAGTTGGACAGATGAACAGAAAATAATGAAATTCGATAGATTTCATGTCCACAAACATAACCCATTAAGTTATGTTCTCATGCACACCAAACTCCAACTCATTCGAGATGATCCAATTTGTGCCAAAGTCCAACTCATCTAGAGTGACGGACACGGACGACGACATAATTCGTCCACATGAAAATATATGCGTATAAAAAGCTTTACAGGACATGTAATAGCACGGATTTAACAGATTTCTAAGGTTATTACTATACTAGAATTGGTAACTTGTTCAATTAGTACATTTATCAATGAAATGCTACGTGACCAATTCGTTGATTTTCCAACTTGGAACCCTTTGACGGAGGGCCTGGCTAGGAACTACGGATAGGACGAAAATCCAAGGTCCCGTGTACACATTTGCGTGCACGAAAAAGAAACCATGACAGATTTAATTCGATATAAGAGTAGGCCACAGCAAAATATCCCTCATAGCACACAGCATGGCGTTTGCCCATCTTCGTTAGCCCAGTAGGAGGTTAAACCCTATTTCATTTCATTTCCAATTCATTGAAAAGACAGAATTCGAGAGAGACGTTTATTCAAACCAGACTTGTGACCCAACAAAGCTAGTGAAATTGCTGTACAGTTTGAAACTGATGACAAGTCCTTAAATTCAATAATTGTCCTAAACATTGTCATAAACAGGGGAAGACTGTCGAGGAACCAGAGAAGTCAGGGACCCCTATTGGAAAACACATTAACATATATTCTTTTTTCAAAATAAATAAAATCCACTGGAAAAATATAATTGCCGAACTAAAACAATATTTCAATTGTTAACTACAGATAGCTGTCGTTTAAAAAATCTAGGAAAGTAAAACATTTTCGATAAGAGAAACAAAATGTTGACACGAAGCATGTGAGAAAATATTGATTTCATTTCTCATGAGATCTTATAACGTGTAAGTTGAAAACCCCCTTGGGATACAATGTAGTATAATAGGTGGCGAAGCTATTATTATTGGTGATGCTTTCAACGAGTTTTGATGTCCTTCTTTTTGCATCTTTTGTATCAGCAAAACCCGTAATTTGCGAGTAACATATTTATTAAGTTCATAACACCAAACATGGAACTACGAACCATTGCATTAAAATAATCACCGAACAGTTTCTCTTTGTGCTACTACATTTTTATATATACAAGTGGCCATGACATTACCCACCTTAACAGGGGCGGATCCAGGAATTTTTGCAGGAGGGGGTTTGCGAGGTTCTTGAGACAATGTATCCCCCCCCCCCTCTCTATCGTCATTTTAGCGTATATACATACACATTGAGCTTTTTAAACAGAGAAATTCAAAACCTCGTTTGACGTCAATTTTTATTATGAATAAATACAATGACATTGTGATTCAATGTCATGGATGCAAAGCATTAATTGTGATATCACATAATGTCTATATCATTATCTCATGCTTTGGTGCCCATCCTGTCCCACATCTGACGATAAAGGATAAAGCACATGGCCGAGAAACTTTTCTCATAAAAAGTGTTGATTTACAAAAAAAATTATGTAGCTGAGCGGGGGGTGGGGGTGTCCTGGATCCGCCCCTGCTTAAAAATCTCAAGTAGGCGTTTGATTTTTCAGAATCATTGAATTGTGCTGTAAGCTTTCGCCTTTATTTCACTTTTATTTGATTACATATTAAGCTATGAGTAGCACGTTTATGGGTCAGATTAATTGAGTATTAAATGCGTTACAGGCCTGTAACGTTTTTGTAATCAAACGAATACAAGGCTTGCCACGAAGGCTTTAGAACCATCCACTACTATAGCTGGGAGTCAAAGATGGGAGTTATCAGTAGTGGCACCATTCCAAGTCTCCATGCAGCTCAAAGACCATTATATTTTCATTTTGTGGTTGCTGGTTCTGTACTCGTTTATTCGTGCCATGGTCCAATAAGTAGTAAGTTTGCAGTGACATGTTCGCAAACAGAGCATTGATCAACCGGAAGTATGCAGTGATCATCCTAATCTAGAGCTGAAAAGCCTTTAATCGGGGGAAATAAACCTTTTTGATACTACGAGGGCTGGCTGAAAAATTTTAAGTCTATCTGTGAAATACCTGTACAAAGTCGATGGTTTCCATTTATTTTTCGACATAGTTCCCTTCGAGGTGTACACAGTTTTGTCAACGCTGTTGCAAGGCCTGGATGCGGGACAGGAAAGCATTTTCTTCAATCACAATAAAAAAAAGTCGATCACAGCTGACATGACATCATCATTACTAGGAAATTATGACCGGCTACATATGGTTACAAATCTGGCCAAAAAAGGACATGTACTTCAAAACGACACAGATTGTCACGGGACGTCAGGAATCCTAACAGGTTTCTGATCCGCTGTCGAAAGCTTTGGCACCCATCTTGCAGAAACTTTTGTCGGTCCTAACTATCGGTCAACCCTCTAATGAGAGATGCTCATAACACTGGCAGTAAGTCGAGTGGTCAATCGTCGATCAGCCATCACCATATCTTGCACCCCGGTCATGTTTTCTTGAATGGTTGCTGTTGATGGCCTTCCAGGACTCTCTCTGTGACGCTTAAATTTTGCAGCTCAATTCTTTACTGTAGAAATGGAAGGGACATCACCCCCTAAAGTAGAGGCCATGTCTACATGTATCTGTGTTGGAGTTCGTCCTTTCATTGCAGGTACTTGATGATTGCCCTATGGCCAGTTTTGTCCATTTCTGGTGATTTCAATGGTCTGGAACGAAGACAATAATAACACTGCAGTTGCGGTTCTTATGTCTATGATTCATTCAATGATTGTACTTGTTGGTGGCAAAAGTTTGTTTCAGCCCAATTGATCTATCCTTTTCAGACTTAGAAGTTTTCATCCAGCCCTGTATTATCAAATGATAACCAAGTCTTGTACAACTGGAAGATATATGCACACACCTAAGGTTGAGTAATTATTGGAGCCAGCCCCGGACAGAACATAGGATGATGTATTTAAATAATTTCTACCAGAACCAAGAGAAATCACTAGAAGTGCGACAGGAAATAATTAAATTTTAAGTCTATTATATACTCTTCAAAAAAAGTAGGGGATATTGAAATGCAAATACCTATGCAGGTTGTGATATGATAAATAGTCATGGACACTTGACATGCTTTGAGAGTATGTTCACGGATGAAGAACATATCGCCCCAACAGAACCTCTGAGCTGCACATGCGACACGCAATAGCGCCATACACGTGGGATGGGTTCATTGTCAAATTTGACACTTCAAGGAAGGGTTGATGAAAACTGCCGCGTGCTGGTTTATCTATCCATGTTTGCTTTCCTATCGGTTCTTGCATAAGATTTACTGTTTAGCGTATCTTTGCTTTAGTGTGTTACGTTTAATTTGATCGGGAGACGTGTTCTTCGACGTCAACGTCAACCGACAACACGGCAAGAATTGGCCGTGGCACTGCAAGAGGAGTGGGTCAGATTGCCCCAAATCGTGATTGGACGGTTGATTAGGAGCATCCCACGACGAATTGCTGAATTCTGAGGATTGGTGGAGCAATTATTCATTATTAAGACAATAATCAAAAACGCCCATTTTCACTTTTGACGGTGTATCTCTTTGCGAGTGAAATGTGGCCGTCAGATAAGCCGCCCATATGAACTGTTTATGTTCATGTGTAGGTAATTGGCCTGTTAATGTTATTAACATACACTGGTTACCTTTAATAAAAACAGCAGTGTATTTCCGCAGTTTTGCATTGTTTCTGAATATCCCCTACTGTTTTTGAAGAGTATATATGCATGAGATGAAACCGGAGCGCCCGGAATAAGTCCACGTGGCAGTTGACCGTATCTAAAATTCACACCATTTGACTCAAAGACAGACCTTATTTTTTAAAGCCCACGCGTTATGTCACACGCAAATTGACCGCGCCAGCTCCCGACACTTACTCACCCCTCACCAACATACCCCACCTATCCCACTGCATAGCCATATGGACCTAACTTCGGTTGGTAAAACAAAATTAACCAACGGAATAATTTGGACCAGTTCTAGTCAGTAAAACCCTATCCCACTCTTTCAATATTTCACTTGGAATTTAGCAATTATATTCGAGGTGGGGAGTAAATATCAAAAGTTGATTGCCATCGTGTTTCAAATGAGCTCAGTGGGAACTAACAGTCTAATATCGATTAATCGCACCAATATTGACAAATGACAAATTATACAAAACACAATTTGACCTTAAACAGCTCAACCGGGGGCATTGGGTGACACTGACACAAAATCAACACTGTGAATACAGATTGGCAAATTATACGTGTAATACATGCTGCATAATCAACGGGATTTGTACTGTTTTTTTAAATGGCGTAGGAGTTTATTTAGATTCACGCGACATAATACATGTATAGATGCTATCGAACATAGCATAAGCATACCTAAATGGTTAATATGCCATAATGATGTATAAATCTTGCAGAATTAACTCTAGGATTTTTAGCAGCTACCGACCCAGATAAACGGATAAAGCCATAAAGCCCTTCTCTTTGGTAAGTATATATTTTGTATGACTTTATTATCATTTAATTCATCTATTCAAGATCTATTCAAGGATAGAATTCCATGCCATATGGTATTTTAATACCGGTAACAAATAATTTATGAAACATTTGTTTAATTATTACTTTGCGATTAACGGATAATTATATGTTTAAATCTACATTATGTTTGACTTTATTATCATTTAATTCATCTACATTGTATTCAAGATCTATTCAAGAATAGAATTCCATGCCATATGGTATTTCAAAGACAAATAATTTATGAAATATTTTTTAAAATATTACTTTGCTATTAAAGGCTCAATACCACTCTTGTTGTAACTGAATAATATGTCCCAATCTTTATTCTGGTCAACAAATTGTACTATTTTACAATATTCCAATTAACTGATGATACAAATTTCATCTTAACACATCTAATTTAAAAAATTGGAAAAATTCAACTAATTGATTTGAAAAGCCTGACGTTAAGCTTTTCAAATGTGACATGGATTTAAAAATATTTTTCAACCCATCTAGTACTTAGAATAAGGCTATTTTTTATTTTCTGGTGCTGTCAAGCCAGCAAGAGTGTTATTGTCCCTTTAACGGATAATTATTTGTTTAAAGTAGTTAATTCTCTAACTCAATATCATCAAAATTCTTCGACATTGAAAACGCGAATTATTTGTCAATTTAAATCAAAGTTGATGTTGTAGTCTTACCGGTAAAGATGGGCTTCTTATATCCAAGGTAGAGGTCGAAGCGTTACACTCTAGACCACTAGGCCACCCAACCCCCCCATTTTTGTCTCTTATCTGGAGAGCATGCACAATAAATACTATCGATGTAGACTGGAATAACCAGACGCTAGAGATTGCCACTCGATTGAGACTTCTGGCGTATTTCGCCAAACATAGCTGATTTGAAATTACAGTAAAAATGGAAACGATTGAATATAAACCAGTTTATATACATTCATATTACATTAATATATTATATGTGTTGCGACCCATTTGTGTCAATTTCTAAGTCCCAAATATTAGCGATTTAGCTCCTTTAATATTATTCGGCAATATTTTATTCAGACGCTGGTGAAATAATTAGCATAAAATTTACACTGATTACATACTGTTGAAAAATGTATTATTTTGAAGCCAAATCTACATGAATGAATGAAATGGGGTTTAACGTCCTACTGTCCTACTCCAACCTGGCTAATGAAGACGGTCAATTTAATTCCGACTGTCAAGGGTTCTTTTGCATGCATGCCAAAGTCTCATCCGAACGATTAGACGCTGCCCCCCCCCCCCCCCACACACACACACACACACCATGCGCCATACCACTGTCAAGGGGACACAACGCCAGAAAATCTTGAGTAACTTTCTCAGATAACACCGGGTTCTACATGTACACTGGGCCCACCAGGTGAGCAGGCCAGTAACCTTACCTTACACTGACCCATTGCGGCTCCCAAATTTACAGGACAAGGTGATATTTACTACTCTTTTGTTTACTGATTTACTGTCACCAAATTCCGATGTGGCCCATTAAACAATTTTGGTGATAATTTCCAAACGGCCCAATAAATCCACGATAATCTTTAAGCACAAAAAATAATAAACTTTTAGTTTCATTTATTTTTGATGGTATGTCCTCGTATTCCAGGAGAGCCACATCTTTTTATATATTTACATAATTTACAGTCGCTATCACCAAGTCATTCGTACAATTCAACAGTGAAATTCCTTAAATAAGGTTTAACTCTGTTAAAAGCAGATGTAACAATGAATTCGGAACCATTTAATTTTTTTCCAGAATATCTATTAATTTAGTCTATTCCTGTACATTTTGGTGTTTACTTCAAGCCACTTTTATCAACGTGTACCCTTTGACATCTGGAACTTCCGCTTTAATGCTAAAACTCATGATGTGATTATCAACTATCATCAACAATTTACGGAGTAAACATATATTTACTCTCCAGAGAACGTTGTTATGTTATGGATCATATTATATCACCACCATACAAACATTTAATCCAGATCATTAACCATTCTTTGAAACCAATTGCCCGTCACTCCTTTCAAAGTGACGTAGAAGAGCATTATCAACTCTTTCTCAACGAATGCAAAAATGTTGTTTCAAAGGGTACAGATCCCCTTTTTATCTATGCTGAATCCATTATATTATCTTTGAACTAATCCATCAGGTTATATCGTTTCCTCTGAACGGGTGCACAATAACATCTGACATTTGGTTGTTAAGAGAGCCACGGTGGTTCAGTGAATAAGACGTTGGATCGCTAACAGGGAGATCCCGTTTTCGTTCCCAGTGCTGGACGAGAAAGTTCATTGGGACTTTCCGGCGAAGTTTCCGCTTGTCTGTGGTGTTTTTTGAAGTTTTAATTTTACCTTTTTGCGATCTGTATACTTCAAAATGTGCTTTCTGGGGTATTCTTTACGTGCATCAACCATCTGTGTCTCTATCACATCATATGAAATATCCCCCATCACTACAATTAACGTAAAATCGGCGTTTTTCGAAATTTGGTCAGAGAAATCCAATGCAAAGTAATGGCAGCCTACGAGTGAGTTTGCTCACCGATCTCCCACGATGCAACAGTGACACGCCCTTTTTTTGGAATGGGTGATTCATGTATAAAAAAAATGGAGATTTTGAAGGATCGTCATTAATTAACTGGGGTAGTGTGATACTGTGGATCGACGATATCTTCTATCCAGTAGCCTTCGCGACAGTAGGCTTACTCTTTCTAGAACACCTGATAACACTTTTCAATTGGGGAGTTCACACACCTCACAAACTTATTTTGTACTTTTGTTTCAGTAAGTATGCTGATCGTGATTAGAATATAGTTCATGTTATTTGAACTCCATAAAAACAAAATTATTTACATAAAAACAAAATTATTTGAACTTCATAAAAACAAAACTAGAACCTTTTGGCTGTATACTTTAAGTAATCGATAATAATACCCAATTTAAAGAGGAAGACATCGATTTTTAACTTTTGTAGTCATCTGTTATACGTCCAGCGAACTGTAGATACCCGATTCGTAACCATCAACAGCAATGAATTTGTCTGGAACGCACGGTGTAGTTTAAGAAGACTGTTTGGATAACAGCGTAAAGGCCATTTTACACGATCCCACTTTTATTCAAGAACATCATCCAACATTTGTAGGATGATGTCCAAGGTCATGAGGTGTCCACTAACATGTCAATTTACACCATACAACATTTAGTGAGCATGTTCAAGATTGTTTTGATATGGTGGTCTTTGAAATGGGAAGGCTTGATTGTCATGTGACCCACTACACCACGTGACCCAGAAATGCAATCTCATTTGTTCAAGGCATTGAACACTGTCGATGCGCATGCTCGAACAGCATTCAACATGTTTAAGCTTGTCCAAGCTCGTTCACGTTTGTTCAAATTCCCACACAGAATGTAGGATCGTGTAAAATGTTGACGAAGGGGGTAGGCCTACTTCTATTGCTGTTATCGTATGAAAGAGTTGTCATAGATGTTGATAATGACTTCAACGTCAACACGAATACTGTATCAGATGATCTGTCATTGAGTCAACTGGCGTGGTTTCGATTCCTCGGTTGTACGTGACCAGGAGAAGGGTGGCCTGTTCAGTCCCGTGAGTTTTCTCCGGGTCCTCCGGTTTCCTCCCACTGCTAAAGACCCTACGCGCAAGCCAATTATTGAAATAAAACTGAACCATATGTTAGTCCCAAAATGACCTGGGCCCTTATTCACGAAAACTTGAACTAAGTTACAACCGAAATTTTAAGAAATACTGCAACTTCATTGGATATATGCAAATTGATTTTACTGGTCAGCCAATCGAATTGCAGTATTTCTTAAAATTACGATTGTATCTTAGTTTAAGTTTTCGTGAATAAGGGCCCAAGTTTGTGTCGAGTGGAGGTTAACCCCATTTCTCTCTCTCTCTCTCTCTCTCTCTCTCTCTCTCTCTCTAATAATATGGCTAACTACAAAGCATTGACGGCGCTGTGATTATCCATCAACGACCATTCCATTAGAATGAACAATTCGCATCAATTAGAAATAAAACCAAAACCAGGGGCGGATCTAGGAATTTTGAAAAGGGGGGGGGGGGCGCCGCAAAATGAGGGCACTGACCGCTGAGAGGGTTTTTTCTTCCACATTAATACATGTACGTGAATCCCAATTATCTTAGATTGATTATAGTACATTGATTGTGGAGGGCTGCCTTGTCGATTTAAGTAGTTTAAGAATTTGAGAAATCATACATACCCCACCAACACTATATATATCCAATCTACATTTACATTATCTTGCTAATATGTGCATTATAAAAGCAAACTATTAGTGTCACCGAGTGTGTGTGTATCTGGCGAGCACGGTACAGTTCAGAAAATCTGGTTCTACGATAGCGCTGCATTTCCATTTTGAGGGTCCATAGATGCTAGTTTATTTTCACCACGAGAAAATTCAAACTTCTGCAGTAAGAACGTCAAGTACAGAAAAATACGTGACTTAGAAAAGGTCTCGGCCACACATACGTCTGCCTGTGCCAAATGGTATCAACCTGAAAATCAAATTCAAAATTTCTCAGTTGAAGACCTAGTTCCTTTCGAACGGTATCTCACGGACGAAGTCCTCTGACCGTTCCTGTCCGCCCCTATTAAGCTGCGATATGAGTATACAGATATACCCCCACCTCTTTTGAGTTCTGACCATCTATATTTCACCATAATCTTTCTTTGTTCTCCAAACGAATTCATTGTTCGCCATATCTGAGAAGTATTGAGGTCATGGGGAGACGAACCCTATTGTCTTTCAGGGTTATTGAAACCTTCGCTTCGGAGTTATGCCCCCCCCCCCACCTCTCCACCCCTGTAAATCTAATAGAGGCTACAATATTTAAAATTTGGTGTGAGTCATTGGAATCGAAGTTAATTAACCCTGATGATTTTCAAAATGTTAGGACTTTCTGTTCCAGAGATGTGAATACAACAGAGATAAAACTTCTTGACGGCACCTGAATCCTTCCCGAGAAGCCACTGTCTATGACTATCTTTATATCGAGACAGCTTTGCTTAGCTATCTTTGTAAATGGAAATATCGATAAAATAATTTAAAATATTATTAACGTACACATTTCACCGATCCAGCATATGTCGATGTCCTGGTAACTTGCACCACTGAGTCATCGTAGTTTGTGGGTAGTAACTATGAAGAGTATGTTTGTATATGAGAACTGTATCCGACAACCGTGGGTGTCATCAAATTAGTAATCGTATCTTTGAATATGGCAGAAGTACTTGACGCGTTTCCATGAATTTCGCAGATGATAAAAAAGCCATTTTTTTCAATAGAGAATAATTTCAGGAAATAGAAACTAGTCCTTGATAGAATGTTTTAATAGATATCAAGCCTATTTTTTTCTGAGTTGTTAGTTAATGATTAAATTGCCAGGAGAATATTTTGACACGTGAATAATGGATTCCTTTTTCAACAATTATTTAAGGAATAGTGTGAGCTTTTACACTTAAGTATAGTGATCGTCAGCTTACACGTGCTCTAATTGCATCTAGATAATTATCATTCCCTTAACTGCAGTATCGGGGTAAAAGCGCACGCAAACGGTCTGTCATTTCTGATTTAATTAACTTTTTATATCCATTTTTCAGATATTCATAAGACGCGGATAACAAAAGAAACGAAGAACAACCCAAACGGCTAGCTGTATATAATTGATGGACTTGGAAACAAAATAGAAACTATAACAAGCTGGATGATTGATGACACTGTCACAAAATAACAACAAAGTACATACTCTACTTTTTAGGACATGATGTACGGGACAATCAACGCCATGTTTACAAGTGTACCTTAATAGTTATGAGAAATCAGAATCATCGCCAGCTTTACAAAATAGATGGCCTTTACTTTGGGAGTACACGTGACAGTTAAAATGACCCGTCGTCTCGCTGGTTCTTCTATTGAATACCAGAAGTGATTTATTGCAGTTCGCAGAAACGGCTTCGATTTTTTAAGGAAAGTTGCCAAAAGGGATGCTTTCGTTTCGTAAGCAGTAAAATCCTCGATTGATTTTTTTTAATCTTTAAAAAGCCAATACGGTGTAGGCTACTTTAGCAGTTAACGATTGGAATTGAATAAACCGTTAGCAAGTAAGGGATTGTGCATCGGGGAGCGTTTCTTAATATTGGGGTTCACTGTCAATATTTCGAGTGAAATCACTAGATAACTTGTGCTGGAAAGCAATCAGGTTGGAAGTGTTTTGTAATTGTTTTCATCATCTAATTGTGTTGTGCCAGTGTTGCGGCAGCTGTCAGTGACGGATCAGTTGAAACTCTCTTTGTGTTCAGATTCTAAGCGCGAGCGATTTCTAGACGGTCTTTTATTTTTATCTCCACCGACCGAATATCATCTATGTAACTTCATTTAAAGTGCGTATTGGGTTTATGTTGGACAGTACCAGTTATATAGCAGACTGTCTCCACATTCATTATGGGATATTGACGGAATTGTTTACATTTGATAAAAGGTAATTCTTAGTTAACAATATAAATAGGGCAATGATATTTTACAAGAATTGAGTTTAAAACACGTCGAGCTTTCTAGAATTTTCAAGTCTTCTATCGCTAAACGGGACTAGCACGCAGAAAGGAAAGGAATGGGGTTTAACGTCTGTCTACACAATACTTTGGACATTCTTAGACTAACGTGCGGTTGTTTATTTTTCAATGACCACGTGTGCAATGCTATAGTAAGGAGAATTTTGCCCAATGAGTGGCTTTTAGAGTCTACTCTTCATTAATTTTCAACTGTCAGTGGGTTTTTTACGACCACCTTATTATCCCATCCGAATGACTATGCAAAATATTACTTGTCACAAGAGGAACACGGGGTACAATCGTTCGTAAGGTGCAAAAAATGAAGCTCCGTGTAACTGAACTCTTCTAATTAGTTTGAATAGGAACAAAAAGAACTGGACAAATATCCATCTCTTGGTAACCCACATATAGAGTATACGTTTATATCTCAACTGTAGTCGTTCGGATGGGACGAAAAACCGAAGTCCCCTGTTCACGTTGGTGTGCATATAAAAGAACCCTTGACATAATTCGCTATAATAGTAGGCCGTAGCACCGCTGTCTGGTCAAAATTTTCCTCGTGGAACACTGTATGCCCAGTCGGAGCAGAAAGTAGGATGTTAAACCCCTTTTTATATATTATATCTCAACTGTAGTGTGTGTTCGTTAGAATTACTCGTAGCTGAATTATACATGGGTCTTATCGGGTTTTTGTTTTATTCTTGTTGAGAGAATGATTCATACCCCGTATTGTAGTTATTTATTTTTAGAAAGTTATGAATCAGCATCTTCCACCGTTTATAACACGACACAGTATAACGTATAGCTGGCTGAATACATCACATGGTATGGTGTTTAACTTACTCCTCGGATAGAGCATACATTTCACAGTTTATTGTGTTATGCATGATATAATTGGTTTAAAATTAACAATGGTTCTATGCGATATCGCTATTGTGGTAGCAGACGTTAAACACCAACCAGACAGTTCTGCTACTGCTGTAGAGGTGTGTTTTCTTAATGGTTTGTCGATCGATAGCATGTGTCACTATGACAGGTATTTGTGTGTCTGGTCGACGTTTACTGGGGCATTTTAAGAGTAACGTTGGTCGTGTTTAATTTTGGAATTTCAATCATCTCTCAAGGTACCTGATACATAAGTGTAATGTAAATGACTATGAATGTCTCGTCATGTTCAGAACGTTTAAGACCAAAATATGGTTCCATTAAAGTATTTGATCTTCAGTTGAGGGGTTGTTAAACCCTTGTAATCTACAGTATTGTGAAAGGCAAATCCTATTAGGAATATTACCAAAAATGGTTAAATTACGTTCGATTTTACAAAAATATGACTTTAATTGGAAATGTGGCAATATTCGGCATCTGCTGTCGACGATATAAACGGGACATGATCAAAACAAGCCCGCGACACAAAAAAAAAGAAAAAAAAAAAGATTTTTTGATAGGCCACTTTTAAATCCGCTCGAATGTTATTATAGAATATTATATGATTTCTGTTTATTACAAAATTGTTAGTTTGAGCGATGTCATCGGGATCTTATTTTTTTAACTCCAGGAAATGAATAGTTTTGAAATCAGGAACGGAAGATATTAGTTCTTTGACAAAAGATAAACCAAAATTTCAACTTTGAGTCTACCGTTTGGAATGTTGTTTTGTTGATTACGGAAACATTAGATTTGACCGATTACTGTTTCTTTTTCTAAATACAAACGCAACATGACATATGGACTAAGAATAGTAGGCTAATTGACTTCCCTGCTATTATAAAGGAATTGCGTTTATTATTAGCAGTCCCCCCCCCCCCTTCCACCTGGTCTAGAGGAAGTAAACAGGGATGAAGTAGGTGAATCCCCTACCAAAATGACGTCACAAGCTACAGATTGCTTCGACCGGGCCCCGAGTTCACAGAGCATTCTCAGACTTAAGTTAAGAATTTACTCAACTTGCAATCACTGTTTATGAGAAATATCTTTGATCGATCCAGAAACACAAAACTTTGGACATGGGTTCTTATTGATGTATTAAAATACATTAAAACAACAAAGTTATATAAAGGGCTATATAGTTTAAATAAGGCGAACAATTTTGAGTAAATTCTTAACTTAAGTCGGAGCATGCTTTGTGAACTTGGGCCGGATCTAGTAAAAAAATCCAAACGGACTCTTTTACAAGGATTGAGATCATCGAAAATGTTAAAAAAAATGTTATAGGCCAAGAAATGTCATTCAGTTAATATTGTACGGTCCCCCTAAATTATCTACACTTTTAGAATCAGCGTTGTGATATTAGTACTGATTAAGGATTGGGGCTACTGGTATGATAAATATTTGACAATCTCAAAACCGATTTATTGGTTTTAATATTTACTTTCAGAATATTTTATGATTTGATAACAGATGATATGAATGTAGAAGGTTATAGTACAGCGCCCTGGAGAACCACTGGATTAACTTATACTATGTAGATACCGGTGTATTTAAAAGATGATTGTTGTATTTGACTTGTTGGTTGTGTGATGAACTAATACGTGATTTTTGTTATCTTTGGTGATTTGATGAACTAATACATAAATTTGTTATGTGTGGATGGTAAAACTATGAGGTCAATATTTATAATATTAGCCGTGTTGTTTACAATATTAATCGCTGATAGATCAGTGGAAGTTCAAGCCAATTTAAATTCACCCCTGAAAAAGTCAACGCCTAGTCCAGGTAGGGAAATTATATCACATTCTATCTTCTTTTATATCTATAAATGGGGGACATCAAAATGTGTACAAAATAACAAACCCAAGGATATTGACTTTAACGGTTTATGAAAAATTTGTGTTCTGTGGTTTCTCTAATTTTATTATTGTCGGTGTTCGCAGACGGCTTATGGTATGCCAATGTTATTCCTATAAAACTATATAATTAATTGTCGGTTGTGCAGGTCTAGTCGTTCGAGTGAACGAAATACCAGGGTCCTTTATACACGTTGGCATGCACGTAAAAGATCCACTCACAGTTAGAATTCGACGTAAGAGCAGGCCGTAGTTCGTACGCTATAATCAATGGACAATCATTTCGAAATATATAATCATTATAATCATTTCGAAATATATAACCAATATACAATCATTTAGAAATATATGATCATTTTAAAATATACATGTATATAATCATTTAGAAATATGTAAGCAATATGCAATCAATATATAATCAAAATACAATCAATATATAATCAATTAGAAATATAAAACCTATATTCAGATTCATCATGATCTTATATTTCATATTGACAAATAAAACGCCACAATAATATTTTAAATATTGCATGGGTTATTCGTAACATGTTAATCTGTGTCTAAGATATACATAATCAAGTTTGGGGATCACGTGGCTAAGTGGGTAAGACGCTGGCTCGCTAGCCTGGAGGTCGGATGTTCGATCCCTGCATTGGCCGAGAAAGTTCATCCAGATTTTCCGGCGTGATTCTCCCTTGTCAGTGATGCAGGACGGAGGGGCTGACGTGGAAAGCTGTCTAGTCGTTCTGATGGGACGAAAAACCGAGATCCCGTGTACACATTGACGTGCACGTAAAACATCCCTTGGCAGTTGGAATTCGATATAAGAGTAGGCCGTAGTGCCGCTGTCCGGGCAAAATTTCCATCATAGCACACTGTATGGCGTATGCCCGTCTTCATTAGCCCAGTTCGGAGCAAAACAGTAGGACGTTAAACCCCATTTCATTTCATTTCATTTAGGAAATTAGCTTGCAATATACGACTTTAATGGGAGAAATTCAGATAATTTTAAAATTATTTTCGAAAAATGAAATAAAACGAAATATAAGTTTAGTGCCTACTTATATAAATAAACCAGTTCTATGTTGTGTGCTACAATTCAACTTGTTTCTATGTATTTTCAGCTTTAACATGTTGGACTTGTCCAGAGAAGTCATCTAACAAAGAATGTAATAAATATGCACCCGATATTAACTGCCATGATAGTAAGTATATCCTTCTATTTCCCAAGCAGTGGCGACGAGCATTAACAGATCAATAACCGCATGACAAATCATAATTGTATTTACCACTGTTGATAAATATAAAATTTAAGGGGAAAAACTCAGCAAATTTACATATACACTTACAAGTCTATATTTTATAATTTAAGCACTATGGGTAAATGACCTTCTTTGGGTAGTTATAGGGGCCGTAGTGTTTAAATTTCAGACATTCCCAGAGCAAAGGCGTTTTTTGTGTTTGCGACAAGAGCTGCACTTGCCGGAAATGAAATGACATGAAATAGCGTTTAATGTCCTACTGTTCTGCTCCTATACTGGGCTAATGAAGACGGGCATAAGCCATACAGCGTGCAATGATGGAAATTTTGCCCGGGTAGCGGCACTATGGCCTACTCTTATATCGAATTCCAACTGCCAATGGATCTTTTACGTGCACGCCAATGTATATACGGTCCTTGGGTTTCCATCCCATCCGAACGACTAGACAGCTGTCCTTGTCAGGCCCTGTCCTTGTCAGGTCCTGCATTCTACACCACTGACAAGGGGAAACCACGCAGGAAAAATCCCGATGAAATTTCTCGGCCAATGCAGGGATCGAACACGCGACCTCCAGGCTAGCAAGCCAGCGTTTTACCCACTTAGCCACCGGGTGATCCGCTCGACTAATATAAAAATATTATCCACCCACAGTCAGAATCCAGTCAAGTGTTGTTGGGTTTTTTTTTTAGTCCAAACATCCATCTCTTATCCCATAATAGTAAATAGATTATTTTCTTAAATCCGTAGATTTCTTATCGGATACCCAGCTTTATCAAAATAAGATCAAAATAATCGCAGGAATTACTACCGTCGCGTCCGGTTGTTGCTCTTGGCAATTACAAACTGTTCCCCTTCTGATGAGGTAGAAGTGGCCGAGTGAAAATGGCCGCGGAACATCTTTTTGTTGAGTCTTGAGTCATAAATCATGCTTTGTTTCAGAGATCTTTTAGTTTTGTTCTTTTTTTAAAATCTAGTATTTAACTATAACTTAATCGTGCTCTAGACATGGCGTGCTTGTCCTTTCTAGAACTCTCGGTCCCAATGCTTATGTATTAGGGGAAATTTGCACAGATATGATAGCCTCTATCTTGAGGTTACCTTGTCTTCTTTAGCTGTCTTGTTAACAAAATGTGTGGGAACAGTTCGTGGTTGACAAGGAAAGGTCAACGACTAAAAATGTCAGGAATAGAAATCAAAAATGGAATTATCCTGTGACTTGATTACATCAGCGACTAAATATTGCTTCCATGATGAATTCCCTCTGATTGCTCCTTTCATTGTAGACAGATATCGCACGTCACGTGTATAATTTCTTCTTGCTTGTTTCCTCCCCGTCTTTCATTGATTTTCTCACTTCAATATTGTGTTAAGCCGAGTGTCGCCATTTCCAGTCACTTCTAGAAAACATATAGAATTTCAGACATATTGGAGTCGTTTCATAAATATAACCACGAGCTATTATTTTCTTTGGTTAGAATAACCTGTATTTATCCTCCCTTTAACGACCCTGAACACCAGACAGGCCAGTCGTAAAATATTGTTTCGGCTGAAATTATTTTTGCATTAAGTCGTAAACCTGGACCTTAAAGTCTCTGAACGTCATCTGAGGGATTGTTAATTCCTTTGCGAACTACAATAGTTGACTCTCTAAAAGGAATACCAGCCATAAAATGATTCAATTCCATAAGTATTTACAAAGTATGATGAATTGAGAATTACCCAAACATTCTGCAATTTTTGGAGCCGTTTTGGTTCAGGCCCGTGTCGTCTATAATCCATTTAAACACGCCGGCGCCATCTTTAAGTTTTTGGTGAACAGGTTTGATAAACCTCTATTTAATGCGTTTGAATCTAATCTAATTGGTTGATTCTTAGGAACGCAATAATTTTTGGAGAACTCTAGATCGGAGACGGTCTAGCACATACGTGGATTGTGCGTTAGGGTTAGGGTAAGGGTTAGGCTTGGTCCAGGGTTAGGTTTAAGAATGGGATTAGCGTTGGCCCTTTACCAAAATATTTACACGTAGAGGTGAAACTGGCTTCCTTATATCGTCTGCAGAGTTAGAATGTTGCGAAATTGTCAACGGTATAAACAAATGAAATGAAATGCAATTGGTTTTAACGTCCTACTTTTTCTGTCCCACCCGGATAATGAATACGTGCTTAGACCATGTAAAGTGCGCTGAAGGACATTTTTCGAACCCCAACTGTCAAGGGTTCTTTTAGGTGCATTCCCGATTTGTAGTCGGGGTCTCTGATTTTCGTGTCATTCAAACGACTAGACGCTGTTCCTTGCCAGGCCTTCGACCTGCACGGTGGTGCACTCACGACAAGAGAAAACAGTTTTACGACCAACACTGGTCCCAGGTTCGCGCCTTACTCTCTAGGCCTCTCTGTGGTAAAAATAAAATAATGTATATAGGATACATCTTCTATAAATGGCTACCACTTAGTTAATAACATTTCATTACCTCAGGGTTATTGAAGCATCAGATTAAAATATAATAGTGTAAACTATTTTTATATTTAACTGTGAGTAGTCATCGGTGCATGGTGCCTTGCTCTTTCTCCATGGCATTGATACTGCGTTTGAAGAACCAGGCAGCTTTGATATGTGCAAACTATCATTTCGTTTAACTGTAAGTACTGACTTGTTTCATGCATGAGATCGGGCGTCTCTATAGCCCCCCCCCCCCCGCACTTTAACCTGATGGCAATTTATCTGATATTCGGAGAGTGCAAAATCTGACATATTTGTGTTCCACACGTATAATAAAGATAAGGTTATATTTCAGATCTGACAGTATGTGCAACTGTTCATAAGTTTCATCATGGTAAAAGAGACAGTATATCGGTGGTTAAGAAGTGTTCTACAACTCAACAATGTAATGAAACAACAGTTGGTTGTCAGAAAACCCAAAATTATTCAGTAAGCATATTGTAATTTTTTACGTCTTTTATTGACAATTTGCAATCCGCGACATGTCCTATCCGATATATTTCTTCTTAGTGGGAATATGAAATGGGGTCTAACGTCCTACTATTCTTCTCCGTTATAAAAATAACGTGTAGGTGAAATTTATCGTTCGTGGGTCATGTACTGTAAGGACCTCTAAAGGAACGGCAAAAATCAAGTCACCCAAGGAAAAAATTTACCCGAACTCTTAAAAAGGTTACGTGTCCGGATAAGCGGTTTTGACGTTCACGTCCAAACAACTCAATATTTTGAGCTGAAATTTTGAGACAAGGTTAATACATCGTTTCTCTATATTTTGGCGCCTAAATTCCATACGTACACGGACTTTTATTTCTTAGACTCTGTTAAAATCGGGATGGTACCTTTAACAAGGTCGGGGATAATCACGCCACAAGACACTTCATTCAAATCCATTTTGGGTCTAGGGGGGCACACAGTAGCGATGTTAATAAAACAAAGTGAGAAACTGGTTTATATTGTTTCTTTCAGGTGTGTATAAGTTGTTGTAATACAGATTATTGTAATGAAGAAGTGTCGTATAATAATACAATGGCGTACAAACTCTCATCTCT